TCTTCAAGGTGTCACAAGACTGCTTTCTGTTTATTTTTCTCTAACTTTGTTGGTCACTCCTCAGGGCTAACTAAAGTAATTTCTTTCCCATGACTTAGCCAGAAACTGTAGTAGGGTACATTAAGAAATCCCCAAAATCTTAGTACCGAGGTGTATCCATTCTGAAAGATAGAAATCAATTAAATACAATTCAAATAATTGTACTAAGCATATGGTTGAAACATCACTGATTGAGTTTGTACCAGTCTAGGGTCCAAGTGAATCTTAGGACCTTGATTTATCAGCATAGTGCCTACAAAGCCTTGCAGGTTTGCTATAGCAGTCCCTAGATGGTTTGATGTCTATACGGATTGACCATTCTTCAGCCTGCACATTCCCTGGTATGGTTTTGTTGGGTGATTTTTCTGCCAGTACAGTGGTGGAGAGAAAGAGGACTTTCTTTACCACCATGGTACAGCTTTTTTCCCCAGATGGCTCTAAACTAGACATGCTCAGATTTGTAAGAAATTCTGTCGCATGTGCAGTGCTCTCCCAAATTGTCTTGGCACTGTCAATTCCCCATGAATCGAGGTGAGCACACCTATGGTGACATGGGGAGGGTGGTGGGACTGTTTTGTTTATACTCAAAGTTATCCTTTCCAGAGGCCGGGTAGGCCACCAAAAGAGTAGTCATTGAAATTAATAATTATATCTCATGTACTTTGCACAACAGTTACACTATTGGTTTCTAGGGCAGGGCTCAAGAAATCCCAGGTTTCCTTGGCACCTAGAAATTTCACTGTGTCCCGTAGCCTTTTTCAGCAGTGATTGTACTGTGGTGTTTCTCAGCAGTTCTCAGTGAAAGCACAAAGGGTTGGATCCAATTAGTTTTTCCACTGATGAAAAAGGGAGGAAAGGGGCATCAATAGGGCTATATTTGGGATCATGAGACCTACACAGACAAACCCATTGTGGAATAGGAGCTGTAAGAAGGAGAGAAATTGGCCAAGGTTGAGCAAAGAAGCTAGCTGGATCCAACCCAGAGTTTATCATTTTGCATCAGAATGTTTTGTTATATGACATAAAAATAAATGTTCATCAAGTTCTTATTATTGCTTGTTTATATGTAAACTTAACTTTACACCATTCAGTGAAGGTGGATGAATTCATTTTGTAACCACCTGCCTTCTGTACTGGCTCCAATATTCAATTAAATGGAGCTTTTGAAAGCAATAATGGAATTATCAAAAAAGTGAAATGAGGCTGTGGTTAGAGGTTAACTTTTTATTTTGGTGATGACAGTTAGTGGTACTCCTATATATATTACAATGCTTCTGTCTTAACTTTAATTATGTTTTGAGAAAATATGAAAAACTTAGGATTAGGTTTTAGGATAGCAATCACTAGAAAATATGGTCATTAATATGAAACCCAGAAGGTTTCTGGGTCAGCTCCTGCAGCCAAACAATTCATGTTAAGTCCTCTTCTAGGGGTGCACCAATTAAGCCGGCTTCCAACACTTAAAAGTGATATAGGCCTTCACTAGTTAGAGTCTGTCCATGACACACTCAGTTGCCTGGTGACCTGTATGGTTGGAAGGCACATAATGTAGCAGTGTTATTCAAGCCAAATAGATAAGGGTCTGGGTGAGAAAACTCTTGGGAACCTTATGTACCCTAACTGTGCATTCTATTTTTTTCCCCATTTTATTACAATCTTCTTCCAGGGTACACCATTATGTACATTATTCTCCACTCCATTTTGTTCTAAAGAACCCTCTGAAATAGTGACTGGCTGATGATCACTATTCAATATTAGAACAGAGAGAGAAATTGCCCTGCCCTGGGTAGCCCAGGTTAGCCTGATCTCATCAGATCTTAAGTTAAGCAGGGCTGGCCCTGGTTCGTATTTGGATAGGAGACCACCAAAGAATACTAGGGTCACTATGTAGAGGAAGGCAATGGCAAACCGCCTCTGAATGTCTCTTGGCTTGAAAACCCTACCAGGTCACGATAAGTCAGCTGTAATGTTGTGGCAAAAAAAGAGCGAAATCAGAGGGGATGCAAATATAATAGTGAGATCTTGTACTGCCTTAATTTCAAATACTAAAAACGATCAGATTTTTATTTTTTTATTATTCACCATTCATATTTAAACTATTATTTTGTTTGCAAAATAGTTTTACATCTACTGGCACTTGCTGACTTATCTTTTGAAGTGGGGGCACTCCTGTGTCATGAAAGTAACATCAAAGGGTCATGTGGGAAGAGTATGCAACACAGCTTCTTCCCACACAAGCATTTCTCCTTCCCCAGTGGCTTCCTTGTCATTAGAGTAACAACAGATGGGGGTACTCTGATGTGAACTTGTTGGGCTGAGGGGTGAAAGATAGGGAAAGGAGACAAAAACAATTGCTTGGAATAAGAGTGTGCGTGGGGGGATTAGAGTAACAACAGATGGGGGTACTCTGGTGTGAACTTGTTGGGCTGAGGGGTGAAGGATAGGGAAAGGAGACAAAAACAATTGTTTGGAATAAGAGTGTGCGTGGGGAAAAAAGATTGTATGTTAACTTGAGGTGCAGAGTAGCAGCTGTGTTCAGACTTTGTTCTGTTCTTCTGAAATGCCAAGTGCATGATTGATAAAGTGGGGAAAGGTATTCTCGATTTTGGGACTGCACAGTATTTGAACTTTCAGACATAAAAGATTTTGTTTTGTGTAGAAGGTATTAACATGAAGCTGAAATAGAATGGATTGAAATTAGTAATAGCTAAGTTTGTGTATTTTTATGTGTGTACAGTGTGGCTGCTTAGAAACATAAGAAACAGAAACATAAGAGATGGAAGAGTAAGAGTTAACTACTGTACCACATGTAGGGAAGAGCAGTCCATTGGGGGTTAAATTGCAGAGTCTAATGGAATAATAACTGGTAGCACCATCTGCTGGCCTACTTCCGCAGAAGGAGTCAGTATTTTTAACGACATCTCTAATATTCATGCTGATGCATTTTGATGCTTTGTGCATTCATTTCTGTCTGTGTTTTGCTGGAATCTGGCTATCTGCTTACAGCTATTGTTGAAATTCTGCTCTTCCGAGGAGGTTGCCGGTTCTTCGTGCTGTAGAAGAACAGGGGACGCATGCTTGTCAAGGAAGGAATATGTTGATAAATCACAATGTTTACTTATGGAAGGTTGTATATATCTTGGCTTTCGGCTTGCTAAATAGGCCATTTAGCAATCTTCTTTCAATGCTTTTCTCTTGAGCACTACCTGGGGGGGGTGAAAAATCAGAGGGCAAGCCTTTGTCTGATGCCAAAAATGTCTTCAGTGAAGAGGCCAAGAGGAAGGGTAAGTGAAAGCTTGAATGAGTGGGAGGAGGAGGGGTTCTTTGGGCTAAAAGGCTAATGGGATTGAATAACCTTCCTTATTACTGGCTGCTGCTGCGGGAGTCGTACTGCATCGCCATCTTGAGCTTGTTGCTGTTTTCTCGAGTCTTCGTGATTTGTTGTAGCCTGCAGGCCTTGAGGTGGCATTTTACTTAGCTACCATAAAACCCTGCTTTTTCCTGGTGCTGCAGAAGTGCTGTTAAGCTTTGATGAAGCATATATAGAAAATGTATCCAGTGAAGCGAACTGGATTTGGCCTGAAAATGTGTTTGGAAATTCCTCGTGATTTTCCACCATGCTGTAGTCAGAGGCACACTTATGGGTGAGAACATAACAGAATTATCTGCTTTTGTGTGTGTGTGTGTGTGTCTATTTGGATAGGAAATTCTTTCCATTCCTTATGGGTTTTTTTAATGTCCTCCATGAAATTTCAGACAGGCTGCTGTAAATGCTTATGCTCGAATGAGGAATATCAATCTGCGTATGTGTAAAGACAACAACCGAACAAAGACACTGTTTTAACTGTTCCGTGTGATCAGTTACACTTATGAAATTTTTAACAAATAGTGTTTTGTAACAAATTAAGGCTGTTTTAGTGTAGTACCCATAGTTTCCCTGTGCAAACCAATTTTATCTATATAGCCTGGCGGTAAAACAGTGCTTATATACCAATTATGTTATGACGCTATCTTTTATGTTATATAAGTCTGTATAATTTAGTATTTGGTGTTGCTTTGTCTGTGTGCGTTGTGCATATTCCCTGCATAGGTTTTGTATCTTTTGCTTTTCTAGTTGTTAAAGGTTGTAATCCTGCATATTTTTGTAATGCTGAAGTGGCCTTTCATGTGGGATTTGTTGGTTTCCTTTGAATTAAAAAAATAAATGTTCTGTGAAAGAAAACATTTTGTTACATTAAAGTTACAAGCAAAGGAAAAGTCAAACTGATAAGTAGCTACATTCCTTCCATTTACGCTTTTATGTGTGCTATACTACTGAAGGAAGGGTAGTGCATGTACAGCTGGAATGAAATAGAATGGAGAATGCAGGGATATAAATAAGGGAGGGAAGTAAAACTGGAGTAAGTTGATAAATACAGTACAGCAGGCCTGGTATTATGGTTGGCTGGTGCCTAAAGCTTGGAAATTCAGCAACCTTCCTTGCACAACTGCTAATCTAGTGGGTTATGTATGTGCATCCCCCCACCCCCTTTTAACCAGACTGAACATTTCAATCTATGGGAAACAAAAATAAACAAAAAAACTTGTTGGTCTCTACTAATAGAAAATTGGCAACATTTTTGGCTACTATTTAGACTTGTCTGTTTCCCCTTTTCCTTGTATAAGGAAATAATGCTATTGTAACATAAAACAGTTTTGTTGTAACTGAAAAGTACAAAAGCTATCCCTCTAATTGTTTAGTAGTAGTATCAACAATGTAGAGAGAACTTACGCTTGTTGGTTTTGGTTCAAGGTAAATATACTTTTAGAAATAGTTGGTGTCTTATACTGGCTCCTCTATGAGTTAGTGATAATATCGGAATTTATATATTTTTGAATTTGCCTGTAAATATCATTTTTTGTGTATCACTGTATAAAATAAGAAAATATTTTAGGCAGCTCATTTGTTTTTTTTCTTGCAGCCTCCTTCCAGCAAGAAAACAGATGGTTCTGGGACATATCCTAAGTTGTCGAATACCCAGGTGAAGGCAATGTCTGAAAGGAAACAGAAAAAAAAAGTGGAATCTGAAAGCAAGCAGGAGAAAGCCAACCGAATAATATCAGAGGCAATAGCAAAAGCAAAAGAGAGAGGGGAGAGAAACATTCCACGAGTAATGAGTCCAGAAAACTTCCCAAGTGTTTCAGCAGAAGGAAGAGAAGAAAAAAAAGGTAGAAAAATCAAATCAAAACCAAAAGATAAAGAAAGCAAAAAACCCAAAACTGGCTCTTCATCTAAAACTAAAGAGAGAGCAAAAATTAGGTAAGTAGGGAAACATTTGTTTCTTTTTGGAAGTCTAACACCCTAACTGTACATGTAGCAATGTTTATGTGAGACTAAGTTGTACTGTTTTTAAAGGGACTTAATCCAAGCGAACACGTATAAGATTGAAGCCCTGGAAGACTGGGAATGACATCCCAGTGAGGAATTACTCACAAGGACTCAAGGGGTAATAATTGAGTAACCAATGAAATAATCAAAATAATGCAAACAACATATTTCCTGTCTCAATATGCAATTTTGCTGGCTCACTGTAGGTTACTGTCATCAGTGCAAAAAGTCCCAGGGATGTTTATGTCTCCAAAAAGCGTTGGAGCCACTAAAATAGTGAGGATACCTACCTCTTGAGTTTTTTCCTAAATTGATCCAGTTGAGGGGAAGAGAATCAATTATTTTGTGTACTATAGAAAGAAAATTGGAACAGAAAAGTTTTTAACAAAGATTTTTCATACAGTGCACCAAGTTAAGTAACTTCATCTGGAAGCTCTTAAAAACAGCAATTTCAGTAATGATTAGGCAGCCTGTGTTAAATGTCACTTTTTTTTTTAAGAGCTGCAATGGTTAATGACAGGGATTGAAAAAATATCACAAGCCCCAAGAATTATTTTTTTATGCATGCATAACCTTCAGTATAAATGTGTGGTCTATTCTGTTACTTACAATTTTGAAATACTTTCAGGCTTGTATTATCTTGATTTCTACTCCTATGGAGTATTTGTTGATCGCCTCAGTTCTTGCCAGAGGTGCTTTTTTGTTGCTTCATTTGAAATCTCACTGCAGTTGGATCCTCTCTTCTGAGCTATGTGTCCCTAAATTTAGATATAATATCCCAGCTTCTGTCAAAACGAATGGGGGCAGTGCATTGGTGCTTTTTATGTAATATGGAAGATGTCTATCCTGCATGCAGTCATGAACATTTTCTTCAATATTTCAACAGCTGCCTCCTTTTTCAAGTGTCTTTTGATTTTATAGCCTCTGCTTATAATCACTTGAAACACTTTCTGTTTTGTCCTTATAGTGGTTTTGTATCTTGGCTTAGCCTTCTAGCTCACTAATGTACACCTGACGTGTTCCTGTTCCTCCCTTGGTGGTATTCTGCATTGTTGTTTATACCAAAGCAGTTTATTTTTTACCTGTTACAGTACTTTGCATTGATAATCACAATTTGGTTTGCTTGAATTTTTTGTGTGTGTAAGTATTTGTGTGTGTGGGTATATGCCTGGAAGTCATGGTTGATTTCTGGCTACCCCTAGTGGGGTTTGGAAAGGTGGCTTGCTATTGGCTGCCTCTGTGTCCCGGCCCTTGGAGGGTCTCCCTTCCAAGTACTTGCCAGGGTTGGCCCTGCTTAGCTTCTGAGATCTGATGAGATCGGGCTTGCCTGGACTATCCAGGTCAGGGCTTGTTTTGCTCATCTTTTCCTGGGGTCTGGATCTGAGTTTTGGTTTGTTGTTTTGGTTTTGGGGTTTTTTTGGTAGGGGCTTACAAGGTTCCATTCCATCAATACGTGTACTTAGAATGTAAATAAAGGTGCTGGATAAGACTTCATAGTCTCTTAAAATGAGGTGCAGCTATATGTCCCCCTGACGGGTTTCATCCTGTAATCAGACTTCCGGTATTGCTTTCTTATATATTCAATATGATGCCTGGAATATCAGATGGCAGAAGTGGATAGAAGTGTTCTTCACCAACTCTGTCCTTGATAAAAGCTGCAGCCCTTTTTTCGAAGTACAGACTATAGCATACACTACATTTTTTAAAACAGATCTTTAATCTACTGGATTTTAATGTGTGGGATTTATTATTTGCCAGTGTAAAAAAACTGAGCATGGTCTTATGCTGTTCATTTTTAAAGAACTATACATGTCATTCAGTTCTTCATATTTTAGGTAAATTTAAAGTAAGAGTCCCTCTGATTTTTGCAACAACGTACTGAGCATATGTAATTGTGTATCTTACTATGTTGTGTCTTCATCAGTTATACAGCACTGGCTCAAGTGAAAGTCAGAAGAATATTATCATATGGTGCTGGGTACATAGCACAGTGGTACTTCTGTCTCATTCTGCTTTGCCTTTATTGTATTAAAACATGTGCCTGAGATGGTTAACAGCACAGAATTTATCAATAAAACCAGTGGATGAAACAATAAACTGCAATAAAATATAGAACAAAATACAAAAACAGCCAAATCAAAAGCGTCAGCAGCAACTAAAACAGCAAACCAAACCAAGCCACAGTGCAACCACATAATAAACTCGTAGGGGAGACAAAACCAAACACAAATTATTTAAAAGCCCATTGAAATGTTTTTAAAAATCTTAAAGGGAGTTAAACAATCCCTACAGCCAAACTGCAAGCAAACATTGGTCCCCACTAAGAGACTCAAACTGTGGATTGTCCCAGCAGAGCTGAAACTTTGTAAGTTTAATTTCTAAGTCCATTGAAGGTTTAATTTCTTAAATCAATTTAAGATCTCATATATTTACACTTGATAAACTTGTCCTCCTGTACAAACTATATGATACAGAAAAAATGTAAACTTGTTAACACGTTATAACAATTACAATACTCCCAAATGCTGGTTGTTTTTTTTAAATTAGTGATTTCAGAATAGTTAAGCACCCAATTCCTGTAACGCTCCATGTGCCTTTTTCTTCTGCATTGTCTTGACTTGCCATGTCCTGCTTCCCTCGTATGACTCAACTGCTCCCTGAAACTTCCCATGCACGTCTCTCTTGCACGTCCTGCCTTGCCAAAATATGTATCTTGGAGTCCTAGTGGAGTCGATAGGCACTGAAGTCCAATAGATCCTTCCTGTCTGTTTTGTAGTGGATTCTGCAGTCTCTCCTTTTAGACTAAAAACATGGGGTGAGAGTGGACAGAAGACCTCACTTTTCTGCTACAATGTAGGACAGTCTTTACTTCAGCATCATCTAGGGTGCAACCACCTGCAATTTTGAAGAAAAACAATGTCTGGGAAACACAGAGCTACAGGTAGAAGTAAAATAAATAAATAAATATGAGGCCAAATGTGGCCACCAAGATGGGAAGTATGGGCTTTAGAGCATTGGCTCTTGAATAGAGGAATGGTTTGCTCGTGGCTGACCCCTAAGATTAGGACTGATGTGAATATGATCTGGGGCAGGGGTGTCAAACATGTGGCCCGGGAGCTGGATCAGGCCCCCGGAGTGCTTCTATCAGGCCCGTAGTGGAACTGGCTGTCTTCTGCTTCTTCTTCCAGCTCTGCTGCTGCTGCGTCATCATAGGTTTGCAGCTTACAGCATACTCAAGATTGCAAACAGCACAGACATTTTGATGTAGTAATTCAGAGCAAGAGGTGTCAGTTATCAGACACTGTTAAATAAACAAAATATTGCAAGAGTGCTAATGTTTTAAGCATGATTTTAAGTAAAAAAAACCTTTGTGTTTGTGTCCTTTATAAAGTTTATATCTTTGCTACCTGGCGTTACATTTTATAACACACATGGCCTGGCCCAACAAGGTCTTATTTATGTCAGTTCCAGCCCTCATAACAAATGAGTTCGACACCCCTGATCTAGGGACTCCCTCGTTCATGATCTTTAGCCCCCTATGTGGTAGGTGTTTAAAAACCACCTCCTGTTTGCCATCCTGTACATCCTGTTTGTGGTTACCCAAGAAAAGGTTTGCAAAGGTGAGCTGAAAATCACTGTAAACCTATGGAGGCAGATACAAAGTATAGCAGATCTCTCGTGTTCCTTTGTTTCAAGCATCCACATATGTGCTTGGGTGAATCTAGATGACCTTCAGATACATTTCAGAATTATGACTCATAAAAGTGGCAATATAAATCATGTCCAATGTGGAGGTTTGCCAGGATAGTGTGGCTGCAGCAGCAATAAGCATGATGACTAAAGAACAGCTTTCTTTTATAATGAAAATGGGAGAGGATGTATAGAGGATATGGGGATATCTGTCATTGGTTGAAGCAGATATTTTAAGTGCAGGATGGTCTGCTGATTCTCTTTTTGCCTTGTTGGCTGGTGGATTTTGTGATGCAGTAATTTATAATTCTATCTTAATGTCAGTTCCTTTGAATGCTGGTTTTTACAATAGATTATTTGTCTATATTTTGGAAATGGTTAATTTCTGAAAAACTGAACTAACATCAAGCACTTTTCAGTAGCCCTCCTATTTGCTGTAATTATAAAGTGCTTTTGCTAACCATATGATGTTCATATGATGCGGATCCTTGAATTCAACTTCAGGAGAATACAGGAAAGGTGAAGGTATGCCTTTTTCAGCAATAGGTCAGTGAAGCTTCCTTCAGTTCCTTGCGGCATATGGAACATAAATCCCTTTATCATAGCAGGACAATTTATCCAGTTTCATGGGATTTTGATACCCATTTTGGGACATCAATTTATGCTTCAAGCCAGCTAAAATTAATGTGGTTGACTTAGTACCCTTCAAACGCTTAAGAGATAGATTTGGTTACAAATCTACCTTAATTTGCTTGTTCTAAGTGGAAACCTTTATTTTATGGCACACGTGTCTTTAAAGATATCAGCATGTAGTGTATTGTGGATCTAATTAGGCTTCTTATTGCTTCTGCCCAGAGCTGGCATCTTACTTTCTGTGGGTTTCCTTGATTATTAATATGTGGAATAATGCTGTTGCAACAACAAGCCTCAAGGATAGGCTTCTGTTGAAAGAATGTTAAAAATGACTTGACATTCAAATGCAGTTGCTCTTATTATAGTCATCTGCATGTGCACCAAGTTAGATTAATTTAATGTAGGTTATTAATAAAAAGCAGTATCTCCATGGGTGGCTTTAGTGATGTGAATAAGATCAGTTTTCATTAAAGTCTTGAAGCTTTCAAAAGATCCTGAGATTCTTTCAATTGCATTTTTATAAAGGCCTAAATTGTAGGTAGAAAATTTTCCTTGTCCTTTGAGAATATAAGTAGATTGTCCTTATCAGATGGAAGTAGCAAAAGGACTTGTGTAAGAAAAAGTTGTAGGTACAATTGGGGGGGAAATCAATTGGTTAATTTCTAAGACATCACTTAATCGCTCTGCAATAATCAAGTGTCATGTACTTCGATATAACAAGAGGAGTACAGGTGGCCCAGGTTAACCACATAGATGGCTTTTTGTCTTACTGTAAAGGTTTACAAGGAGCGGCAACAGAAAAATTCCATATCTGATATGCAGTTGGCACTTTTACTGACAGTATCATACCCATGAAGATCCCCCCCTCCCGGGTATGTTTAAAATTATCACCCAGGGTTCATCTACTTTGAAATCCTTGACTTACGCATAGTGAATTGGTGCACGGTGCATTAGTCATATTTTTCAATTTGGCAGTACTTTATGGAGATGGCCTCAGATGAACTTGAATATTTTTGGCTGCAAGAAAGCCAATTCATTGGCAAGATTCAGTGGTAGAAGAGGAATTCTGTATGGATCTGTCAACTTGAACGTCTGTAGTATGTGAAACTGTAGATTAGGGTAAGCAAGCTTAATCGGCAGTGAAGGGTGTGCTCAAAACAGCATCAGTCTAAAGGATTGTAGCTACTTTGCTTGTTACTCAAACAGTAGTTGAAAAAACGCCTGCATTGTGGCAGCTGCAATAGCATCTCAGTTTGAGATTGTAGGGCAGGTTGGGGTTTGTTAACAGGGGAAAAATAGAGGGAGAATGCTGATTGAGTCATTGTGCATGATGACGACGTACGCTATGGGTGTTTGTTATAGCTGTTTTCCATAGAAGTGATTATGTTAACAAGCCCTAGTTTTGTCTGTTTTGGTAGAAATATTGCCTACTTCAGTGATTTTTAAAATCAAGATCGTGCTACTAAAAGCACACAGGCTTTGACAGCAAATCCCGATATCTATATTCTTCACGTTGATTGGGGGGGGGGGGGGTACCGCACACCCCAACCCACACAGCATAATGCAGTTGAAGTATTCGTTGTGATTGGTGGGATAACACCAGCTGTGATTATTGGCCACCATGCCTGGGAGAATGAGGGATGTTTTAGGTATTACCCCACATGGAGGCTATTAGAAACGGTTTCCACATAGTGGTGTTCCATGCAGGAATTGTATGGTTTGTAAGTATGTGTGTGTGCTGGCCGACTTGTATATTGCTCACAACATCTGAAGTTGTTTTCTTCTTAGCATCATTTTATGGGCATAGCTCTTTACAGATTACAATACTTGATACCTAACTCAAGGAACTTTGTCTTATCTTTGAGATAAGGGGTTGGTTTGACTCCAACAGAGTATTTCTGCAGACACATGGATTTCTACCCACTAAGTGTGACTTTCTTGATACCCCCACCACCACCACCACCACCACCATGCAGCTCAAAATGGAGTGGCATTTTGGGCTCCATTGGGAGGGAAGTGGTGGGAAAGTCATGCAGAAGTCCTTCTATAGGAGAAAGTGTTTTGGATCCAAGCCAAGGTGCACCAATTTTAAATCAAGACTGATTTATATCAGCAATTTAGATTGATTTTAACATATTTCCATTATTTAGATACTTCTTAAAGTACATGCTGATTTGTTGCTATAACCATAAATATTAGTTTAACCTGAATAAATAAAGGTTTCCCTTGCTTGAAAGCCAGTCGAATCCGACTCTAGGGTTGCGGTGTTCATCTCTGTTTCCACGCCGAAGAGCCAGCGCTGTCCGAAGACATTTATGTGGTCATGCGGCTGGCATGACTACATGCCAAGGCGCATGGAACACTGTTACCTTCCCACCGAAGCAGTAGCTGTTTATCTACTTGCAATTTCTTGCTTTCAAACTGCTAGGTTGGCAGAAGCTGGGACCAGAGATGGGAGCTCAGTCTGTCATGCGGCACTCAGGTCTCGAACTGCTGAACTACAGACCTTCTGGTCTGCAGTTCAGTGTCTTAACTACTGAGCCACCGCAGCCCCTTTAACCTGAATAGGATCTTTATATAATCTCACAGAGTAATTTATACGTTCCTTAAATATATAACTTTTTCTAAAAATTATAAAACTCTTAAATCATCTAGAGCTTGTGTTTTAAATATCTCAATGCTTGTGAACCTAGCTAAGGTCTCATTTACAGCCTGAAGACATGATAGATTTTTGTGCAGAGGTATAGGTTGAAAATAATGGGTTGGTTGCCCTTTCTCTCTTGTCATATACCTTCTCTGTCCTATCCACACCTCACAAAAGTAAATAATTTCTGTCAGAAGCAAGGGCGGGTACTAATGGGCAGTTCAATGTTCTTTATAAGATGGGAAGTGCCGTTTGATATTTATAATTAGGGTACTGAGCCAGTTGCAGAAATCAGATACCTACTAAGCCACATGGATCCGTGGTAACTTCACAGTCTCTGGACCCTGGTAACAGACCATAATATTGAAATTTGTGTTACATAAAAAAGAGTTTTTGGATTTGTTTTAAATCATTTTTATCCATCCTGCAGCAAAGGAACAGATTAGTAGCAGAAGAATACGTATTTATTTCAGTCGCATGTACTTGCCTTAGTTTGAGAGAATGGGGGGACTGAAGAATTTTGTGGAAGTCTTAATTTTTTTTTTAAAAAGTGGATTTTGAATCTGATGCCAGCTTGATTGCACACTGATAAGCGTACAAACATACCACCTCATATGTAGTATGCTGTCACTTTTGGTGTGTGAGAAAAAGAAGAGTTGGTTTTCTCTACCCTAAGAAGTCTCAAAGCTGCTTACAATCACCTTCCTTTCCTTTCTCCACAACAGGCACCTTATGAGGCAGGTGGGGCTGAGACAGTTCTGAGAGAACTGTGACTGGCCCAAGATCACCCAGCAGACTTCATGTGGTTCTCCAGTTTAGAGTCCACTGCTCTTAACCACTACACCATCCTGGCTTTCTAATTTGAGGAGCTGTAATGTGTCTTTCAGCCCAACATGAGGCTGATATAGCCAATATGAGGTTCATGTCAAAATCTTCCACAGGAAAACTTACATACTATTCCGGTTTTTACATATTTTTTCTGCAGTGAAGGTTTAAGGTTATATAATTGTTAAATTTCATAAGCTGCGATGACATTCTTTAATCGTAGTGGTAATACTTGCACCGCAGTTACTACCTGCACTGCATCACTTATTTAAGCAGCTTTATCTAATTTCTATGTGAGCTGCTATAAATTAGCAGCCTCTGGCCAGTAATGTTTACTGTTTCTTGCTGTGTAATAATTGAAGCAAATGAATAAAGGGCAGTGTTTGGGGGGTGTCTGTGAAGCTGCAGAAAATTATGTTCTAAAGCAATTCTCTCACTGCTGCATAGTATATAATTATCAAATCTATATTATGTAAAGTATGCATCTAAGGACATCTCTTTATCTGAATTTGGGTTTGATTGTAATCACATTGTGATTATTCTGAGAATGCGTTTGAAAAGCAGCACTTGTCAGATTTTAAATAAGGAAAATTATATATATTTGCAGCCCTCTGATTAAAACCAGATGGAATGATATTAATATTGCCCCTTTTTCTATAACCCTTTGACTATAAACTCAGAAATAATTAGCACTGTCATATTAGGAATATAATTTTCCCTAAAATACAATTCTGTAGTCATTATCAGCCATTACTGACGGAATGCTTTCTATAATTCTTGGTGTTTTGAAATCCAAACTGTCAGGCTGAAAATGTTATGGGTGTATTTATACTATTCGATCATGTACAAAAATACTTTAAAATTATGCAATTTGTATTAGTTAATTTTTATACCAATTGCAGTGTAGCATTTGATTTCATGTGTCAGATAACTAGAGTTTCTATTTATGCAAACATGGATAGATAATCTTCTAGTCGCACATATTAGCTTGCTAAATTAAGCCACATTTTGAGGAAGAAAAACCTGGATTTCCTCTCTGTTCAGTACCTTAGGAATGATGAGGAAGAAAACATTTTAAATGTTTAATCTTGAGAGTATGCCTCTGATTAAGTTTCAAGGCCTACGTTTTTATGCACATGATTATTTTTTTTCTTTTGTTTCTAAACAGCAAGCTTATTATTACTCTGGGTAAAAAGCAGAAGAGAAAAAATGAGTCTTCAGATGAAATGTCTGATGCTAAGCAGGCTTCTCAGCAGCCATTCAAAGATGAAGCTTCTCAGGTATTTAGAAACAAACAGGTGCCTTCAGAAATCTTTCTGGGTGTGTTAACTTAGTTCCATTACCTCAAAACAGCAAACATCTACCTCTGTTCCCCCCCCCCCCCACTTATTGCCATCCACCAGCAAGCATATGAGGAATATAGGCGGGAGCAGATGGAGATGGATTGGCTGAATGGTGCCATCGATTACTATTGTTGATATCCTGGGCTCTTTTTGTAGAAAAATCCCAGCAGGAACTCATTAGCATACTTTACACTTTTTCATTGTAAGTGAAACTCATTTGTGGTGTATACTTCCTTCAGCTCTGTTTTCAAGGCATTAGTTTACATGGTTGACCTTGTCTAGGCAATAAAAATGCACAATTTGATTCTTTTTCCCCCTTAAATTCATTGCGCTTTTACTGGCACATGTCACTTACACCACTACACACAGTCAGTCTTGAATTTGGAAGACCCAGTCTACTCACCTTGCCATTTTATAACTATGTGGTAAAACAAAACAGAAATGTGATATGGTAAAGGCTTTAATCCACATAAGATTAGGACACCTTGTTTCTTGAAGTAAAGATTGCTTGTGTGAATAGGAATTCCTACGCATGTGTGCATACAGCTCTTCCACCAGTCAGCTTAAGGATCTTAAGCAGCATCTTACCAACTGATGGTTGGAATGCTACATGTAAGCAATTAAGAAATCTCAATTGTAGATGTGTAGCATTACATGTAAGCAATTAAGAAATCTCAATTATTGACATGTAGCCTATTTATTTTCAGCTGATTTACTAAGGATGACAGATCAGTGCAATAGGATGAAAGCATGTTTGTAAGGCTTTCTTTATTAAACAAAGCTAGAATCCTTAACAGCCAAGTGAGGTTGCATTGAACTGCTCATTGGCGGGAACTGATGAGGATGGCAGAGAGCGTATGTTTTGTGCTGATTTTGATACTATACATTTCATATATCAGGTAATTTCTCAACTGACATAGGCAATCAGAGCTTTTACAGAATTTTACTTTCCTCCCCCTCCCCCCTTGGACCTATTTAGGAAAATCCAAGTGAAGAAGATGCAGCAATTGTAGATAAAATTTTATCTTCCAGAATCATAAAGAAAGAAGTGAGTACATATGGAGATGTGAGTCTTTTGGTTCATAATTTTATAAAAAATATAAATGAATCTTAGAAAACAGAATGTTGTGTACTCTTTCAGATTCCTGGGGGAGTGACAGTGGAAGCAGAGGAATTTTTTGTTAAATACAAAAACTAGTAAGTATTGCCACTTAAATTTTGGAGTTATCATTGAACTCTTCTAGGTTTTTTTTTGTCCTTTTTTAACATTTTTATAGGGGTACAGAAAAGAGAAAGGGTAGGGGGAGATAAAAGGAGAAACAAGCCAAAAAAACCCCATAGGGGCACTTTTTACGAATATCAAGACATACATTAGTAAGGGAATATATGATATAATCAGTCAAGATAATGACACTTCACACATTTCATTCTACTTAACACATTTCATCCTACTATTTTCACATTATAAATTATCATTATTCCCCATCTAGACAATTGTAAAGAAAAATACAGAGATTAATTCTTTTTGGCTTTGCATATAACATTAAAGTGACAACTTTACAATTTACAATAAGAAGATATAGAAGAGAAAAGACAGGAACAAAACATAATTTTCCATATGATACTTTAGCATTTATATAATGACTTGTTCATTATATCTAAGCTAAGGAGATTAAATATAATAAGCATAAAAGGCTCTGCAGTTATTCTCAAACTCATTTATTGGCCTGTTATTTATATAGTTTGCCAGTTTTGCCTTAACAGCATATACTTGCATCTTCTCTTTCCAATTCTGAATATCTGGGCAAATCTCAGCTTTCCATTTGGTTGCAAATACTACTCGCACCATGGTTAACATATATCTAAACAATTCATGTACTAATTCTATCACTAGTCTAAGCTAAGGAATAAATGGGTCTCGGATATCATGGCAAAGTTTATAATTTTTTGGTTTTTGCATTTTGGAATGTATTTCTTTCCAATATTAATAGCCTTTTTACAAGACCACCACATATGGTAGAAGGTACCCTTAATCCCTTTATATTTCCAACTTTATCATTTTTATCCATCTTTTCTGTATATTTTGAGGTGATATATCATTGAAAGTACATCTTACACCAATTTTCTCCATTGTTGGAATATAAATTGTTGGAATATAAAGGCTATAAATTTTCCCATTGTTGGAAAGGGAATTTTTTAATCGAAATTCTGCGACCATTTCACCATACATATCTTAACCATCATATTGAAGCAAATGTTCGTGAATATGACCTAGGTGGTGATCTTTTTTATTCAAAAGAAAGAAAGAAATGAATGAATGAATGAATGAAAACTCTTCTAGTTTTTGATACACTGTCAGCTTGGAATGTTTCAAGGGCGGTATGGAAGAGTTACAGAATTGTGCTTGGGGTCTTTGCCAGCCATCTTTCCGGCTGCTGTTCCAGCATGGCTCCCTTGTGGAGATAGCCAGATAGACAGGTTGCTGCTTACCCTGCATAGCTGTGGGCCTGGAGCTCCTTGTTCATGCAGGGATGCCTCAGGCCAGCAATTAACAGATGGGAGCGTGTAATTGTGCTCCTGATTGTGGATCAGGGCATCAATCTGTGCGTCTTTTGCTTACGTGTATTTCACTGTAGGCTCTAAGGTGAGGGCCTGTGGTTCTTTGTGGGCTCCTTGGCCTTGTGGCTTTGTCCCTCAGTTCAAGAGAAGGAAAATAAATATACTAAATAAAATCTCTGGGACATAGAATATCAGGAGCTGACCTCCAGTTCTCTTTAAGCGAAGGATTTAGTGAATATTAAATAAGCAGACCTTGTGATAAGCCTGTGCTTGCAAGAATGTAACTAGTGATCTTTTGTAAATCTAGCTCCTACCTCCATTGTGAATGGGCCACAGAACAACAACTTTTAAAGGATAAAAGAATCCAGCAGAAAATCAAACGTTTCAAGCTGCGGCAAGCACAGAGAGCCCATTTTTTTGCAGATGTGAGTATGTGTTTAAAAAAAGAACCCTGCAACGCCAATTAAAAGCTCAGTTGCCAGAAGCCTAAGTGTATGCTTAACATTCAATAGTTCGTTACATTCTCTTTGTTTTCTTTGTCTTCTGTTGTTTAGCAATTATATGTGGATTTTCATATTAAAAGTAGAGAAGTGATGTTACTCTTGGGTAATTTTACCAAGCAACGCTGATGAGTCTTCTCTTCTCTTTAGTTTTGTTTATGACTCAGTAATATCATAGTTGGTGTATGCTTATCCAGAACTAATGAGTCCTGTTTTAGAAGAAAAACCGCCTATAAATGCTATAAATAAATATAGCACAGTATTACAGAAGTGACTGTTGCCACAGGGCATTTAGTAATTTTATAAATATATTGTGCTTAATTTCAGATGGAGGAAGAACTTTTCAATCCAGATTATATTGAAGTAGATCGGGTGTTAGAAGTCTCCTTTTGTGAAGATAAGGACACTGGAGAGGTATGGACCTGAACGGAAACAACTGAACGAAAGCTAAGGCACACGTTCCATAAATTCTTCATAATCAGTCATCTGTAGAGTAGCGCATACTCGTGCGAAAGGCATGTATATATAAGTGTACAAATTCCATGTTCTGTTCTTATCACGTATCAGTTTGAGTTTTGGAAAAAGAGTGGCAAAGGGGAAAGGTAGAGGGAGGAGAGCAGCTGGACTGTTTTTACCAGTTGATCCTCCCACTCAGTTGGCCCTCCTGGGAGGAAGGGGGGGGACCCTCCCAGTGACTCTCGGACCACATGGCTAGTCATGGCAGAGAGTAGAGTGTCCTTCCTTTCATTTTTGCAATCCCTAGGCCAGGTCTGCATCTGAAGTCATAAGGCAGAAGGAGACAAAAGGAGCAGCTGCAGGTAAACCTAAGGCAAAGAGGGGAAGAAAGGAAATACATGAAATTTCTATGCAAAGAACTTTAAAAGTAAGAACCAGGAGCCTGGAAGCTGAGAATGGTGCTACAAAAGGCAATAGCTGTCAAGTGTTAGATGATACATGAATAGTTTCAAATTTTGGACACAAGGAGCGTTGCTCTGATTAATCTTTGCTGCCATAAATAACAGTGTAAACTCGTTTCATCCATGTTATAGGTTGTCAAAACTGCTATGTTTCTTTTCCATTTGGTGTCATGGCTGCTTAACTTTGTCCAAATAGTACCCATTGATTCAGCTTTAAATGTTTCTGAACTCTCTCTGCTTTGCAGTTTTACTCCAGTTGTCATTTTCATGTTCTCATGTCGTAAGGAAGATTTCCAGATTACAGGAGCAAATCATTTTTGATCTGTCTCCTATTTGAAGAAAGGTGCCTTAGTTCTTTTAGGCTATCTATGGATACATGCCTCAGAAATATAGGGTATCCTTGCCATAAAATGTTATGGCTTATTTTATTTTTTTAACTGCATAATAATAGATGAAGGTATGCTGGAATTCTGTCTACTAAATGGAAAGTTGGTAGCCTGACTGATTTTTCCCCCCACCACAGCCTGTTACTTACTACTTAGTAAAATGGTGCTCATTGCCGTACGAAGATAGCACATGGGAGCTGAAAGAAGATGTAGATCAAGGAAAAATAGAAGAGTTTGAACAACTGCAGGCTTTAAGACCGGATTCAAGGCGGCTGGTAAGAATGCATGTGTGTAATATCTCTCAAATGAAGGTACGCACATGTGGCTCCCCTTGTGCTTTTGCATGCAAAAATTGCTTGAGCCAAACGAGCTTGGCCTTCAGTTTTTACATCCAGTTATATTGCTTTAGGCTAATAATCACCTCTTGGCCTCTGTTTCCCATTTGTAAAATGGGTATATTAAGGGCTTTATAAGAGCGTTAAGATTATGATCTATAAATACGAAACAAATAGACCAAAGGCCAAATTAATAATTTTTGTGAAAACTGTATGTGGAAAGGCTCTAATGCCTTGTAACTACAGCTTTATTTAATGTTTATTCTAATTGCTGAACAGTATATAAATAGTAGCAGCTATAGAAAAGAAGGAGCAAATCAAGTAAATGAGTGAAAAATTTCACTTTGTAATGTTAAAATAACATTATGTCCCTAATCAGTTAAAATCATATAAACTTTATTCAAGAGATACCATGTAAGAGTGATTAAAATGTGGAATTTGCTGCCAGAGGATGTAGTGATGGCCAGTTTCAAAAGCGGATTAGATAGACTCATGGAGGATAAGTCTACAAATGGCTACTAGCCATGGTGACTGAGGGGAACCTTCATGTTCAGAGGCAGTTAGCCTCTGAATCCCAGAGTCAAGGGGGCAACATCAGGGGAAGGCCTGTTGTTGGCCTTCCAGAGGAACTGGTTCGCCACTGTTTGAGACAGGATGCTGGACTAGATGGACCACTCGTCTGATACAGCAGGGCTGCTCTTATGTTCTTAAGTGAATAGTATGCCATGTTACTTTTTCCAGTATAAAAGCAAACTGCAAACTTGCAAACCTACAGAAATTTCCCCACAAAAGAACTAAGAGAAATCTTCTGTTTCTTCCTCCAAGTAGAGGCAGCGATGCTTCATTTATGTTTTGCTTTGTCCTTAAGGATCGACCTCCTCCTAATTCATGGAAGAAAATAGAACAGTCCAGGGAATATAAAAATGGCAACCAACTCAGGGAATACCAATTGGAAGGACTCAACTGGCTCCTTTTCAACTGGTACAATCGGTATGTGCTCTTAACATACTTAAAATGCTTCTGTTTAAGTGTCAAACAATCACTCTGGGCAACATGCTTAAAACTGTAAATTTGTAATGTATGTAAAGGTCTGGTTACTGTCCCTTTGGGATAGATCCCCCCCCCCCATATCTTTAATATGTAATGTATGCCAGCACTAGTAAAGGGAACAGAATTGCCAACATATAACGTTCCAGTGAAGACAAGTTTTTGCTAATTATTGGGCTGTGGAACAGTAAAGAAGTAATGGGTGTGAAGAGGGCGAAGGGTTGGCAAACTTTTGATCTGTGACTGCCTGCATGGTGTGTAGAATCCAAGGGCCTAGTCTGACTATCCCCTGCAAAACAGTGCAAAAGGAAATTTTTTTGTTCTTACTTACTTACATGGCATCATTTGGCTGTAAGTGACAAACTGTGAGTTGTCATACAAACAAGCCTTGGTGGATCCATGGGCTTGTGTGCTTGTTTCTCGTTGTGTATGGCCAATTAATAGAAAATGTTAGGATATGGGACAATGCAAAGTTTGTTGCATTGAAGGCCCAGATTGTGATTTTCAGCTTGAGGATTCCCCAGCCCATTTCTGTTAGGTCTTTCTGGGGCTTGTTCAACGGAAGGTCCTTTCTGCAAAGGACTTGCTTTCCCAAATCCTATGTATGCTTAACAACCTTAGCAACCCAAAAACGTTCTGAATAGAATTGTGTTGTGTATCTCCTCTGTAGGTTTGTTAAGTCTTTTTGATTCTTTCCCCCCTCCAGACAAAACTGCATCTTAGCTGATGAAATGGGTCTTGGCAAAACCATCCAATCAATCACTTTCCTCTATGAAATCCTCCTGACTGGCATAAGAGGGCCTTTCCTGATCATAGCTCCACTTTCCACCATAGCCAACTGGGAAAGAGAGTTCCGCACGTGGACTGATCTTAATGTTGTGGTATATCATGGAAGTATGATCAGTAGGCAGATGATACAGCAGTATGAGATGTACTTCAGGGACTCGCAGGTAACTTTTTTACACTAGCTTCTAAGTAGTAGACCATTACAAATGCAGCACACTGTTACTTATATGGTATTTATGTATTTGAGAATCACGCTGCATCCTTAATTTAATACACTGAAAATCATCCGGATTGTGAAGGCATCAATCAGGGCTGCTTCTGCATATTGTATCACAACAATGTTCAGAGTAGAAATTTGGCAGCCTAGCACTTAGCCATCATGGCAGTTGCACATGGGTGGAGCTAACTGTGTCAGTGTGTTCTTTCTTTGCATATGGGGGTGGTGGCGGTGGCTATCTTTCAGGTTCACTCTGTGGGGTTCCAAGGTCACATATAGTTGTTGTGAAGCATTCTGAGAAACATCCTGGTTATCCTTACAGATAGCACAGACACACACACCCCGCTAAGACACTGAATGTCTGTTCCATGATAGCTAAAAAGATCGATCACGTTCAGAGGCTGTATTTTTTCTAAATACCAGTTGCTGGGGGAAAGGGGAGGCTTCAACCTGTATGCCCTCTTTGTAGACCTTCCATAGCATCTGATTGGTCAGAGCGGGAACAGGGTGTAAGACTTAAACTGCCAGTCTGCTCCAGCACTTGCTATACTTACATGTTTCTGTTATAAGATATTCCAGTGCTACAAATTCAGTGAAAAATGAGAAGGTCCAAGATGATGTTTGTTCATGTTTTAGGGTCGCGTCATTAGAGGTACATACAAGTTCCAAGCCATTATCACTACCTTTGAGATGATTCTTGGTGGCTGTGCAGAACTCAATGCCGTTGAATGGCGCTGTGTTATTATTGATGAAGCACACAGACTGAAGAATAAAAACTGTAAACTGCTGGAAGGACTCAAACTTATGAATCTTGTGAGTGTCTGCTTTCAGTTTCTTGAAGTAACAAAGCGAGCACATTGAGAATGGGAATGCAAGTGGAGGTTAACATTTAAGCTAAATGTTTGAAAAAGTTATTCTCTCCAAACCCCACAGATTGGATTCTTACAGTGCGTGCTTTGTGTTACTTAACATTAGGTGTGCAGTTCCTTTTCTTCCTTCCCTCCCAAATCTGCATGGACTCTAGTGAACAAAGTAGTTTAATTCACTCACTCCAAAGAGCTGTATGAAAATCTACGTTTAGATTTTTTAGTCCCAAAACCAGGGAGTTAAGATGGTGTTTCTTAATATGGTTTTCCTACTCTGACTAATTGTTGCCAGTCTGTGTTTTTGTTACAGTACATCCCACCTTCTCCTGTACCATAAAGCCCCTTAACCTATCGACATTGATTCTTCTGCTTGAATTCTTATCACTTGCACTGTAGTACTTTGCTCTTGAATCCTTAGGTTAAGGTTCAAGCCACACCCCACTAAATTACATTGTAAAACTAATGATATAATTTCTTAAAGGCAACCAAATAACGCACATTTTTATTTACACAAAACACTTCTTGCTTAGGAATGATTGTCAGGGATATTGTCTCTATATTTAATCCTGCTAAGGTTCAAGATGTTGAGTGGCTTTTTAAGTACTATATTTTAGAATGTCATACTAAATGTGCATCTTTCATAGGAGCACAAGGTGCTGTTGACAGGCACACCACTGCAGAATACAGTAGAAGAACTTTTCAGCCTCCTTCACTTCCTTGAACCTTTACGTTTTCCAGCAGAATCTACTTTCATGCAGGAATTTGGGGATCTTAAAACAGAGGAGCAGGTATGTTCCAAAGTACTGCATTGGAAATAAAAATTAAGAATTCTATGGGCTGGCTGTTATGTTATGTAATGGTAGTCAACCCATCAGACAGCAGTAAATAGGTTGCTTCTCTCCTCCTCTGTTTTCATTTCAAATAATGGTAAAATAGCCTGTCTTACTGCTTCTTTATTTTAACTGACTGTAGTAGTAATGCTGCAGTTTACAGTGTTTCCAAATTAATTATGACAGAATTGTGAAATTGTGGTATTTGGTGTTGTGAATAAAAATCATAATCTGTACATTATGTGCATTTTTTCCAGCACAGGGTCTAACTTATCAGCTACATAATAGGTCCATTTGTTGGCTAAGATCCAGAATTTTTTTTTTAAAGGTGCTGAAGGGTTTTGGCTTAGTTTCAAGAGTGGTTTGGTATGGAGCTTGTAGAGCTGCTGTTCAAATACAGTTTCTTCTAGGATGCACAGTATTAGCATATGGATCTTTGGCTCTTCCTTCTTATCTGTGATAAGGTGTGCTTACCTCAAGGACTGAACTATGGAAATACTTGCAGATCAAGCTCTCCGGTTCAAATACTGTTTCTTGGATTATGCCAGTAGTAATAATAAAAAGAGGGGCCTAGATGTATTCATCGAAAAACTGTGTTTCCTTCTTACATTTTCTGACAAATGTAATTTAGTTGCTTATATGACTCACACTGTCTCATAAATGACTCAGAACTTCATGACAGGACAAAACTAGTTTTAAGTTAAAATTTTATATTATAAAATGGTGTATATGTGTGGATACAGATAATCTGTATTTCATTTAGGTGCAAAAACTGCAGGCTATCTTGAAACCAATGATGCTGAGAAGGCTAAAAGAAGACGTGGAGAAGAAGCTGGCTCCCAAGGAAGAAACCATTATTGAAGTTGAGCTCACAAATATCCAGAAAAAGTATTATCGAGCTATTTTAGAGAAGAACTTTGCATTTTTGTCAAAAGGTGCAGGCCAAGCTAATGTGCCCAACTTAGTTAATACTATGATGGAACTCAGGAAGTGTAGTACCTCCGAGGTACTAGTTTTTTGCTGCGTGTTTTCGGCGGGAAGCCTCGGTTGTTCCACGGAAGCGCTACGCTTCCCAGATGTGCCGGTGAGATCGCGCCCGGAAACTCCGCCTGTCTTCCGTCTCTCTTGCGTGGCTAATGTTCCGTGTGACTGCAGCCGTAAAATGTCAAAACTTCATCATTTAGTTACTGCAGGGTCTGTTTTTGTATCATAAAACACCACTGACTTCAGTAAAGCTATAATTGGGATGAATTTCAAAAGAGTATTATTAAGTCAAAGAATTTGATTACTATTGTACCTTGCTTTTAGGGTGGGTGAAGTCCTTGTACGTTCTTTAAGAGGCTACATGAATGCTAAATTCAGTCTGATCAATCACTTCCCTTGCTGTATTCTTATTGTGAAGCTGAAGCCCTAATAATTAATGGGTTGGATCCCAAGAACCGTGAGGAGAAGGGAAATGGCAACTAGCCCTGCTCCAGCAAGGCTTGGACAAAGCCATGTGAAGTTCACACAGTGCGGTTCTGGAACTTCTGCTTTTCAAGAAGTTGGGCAAGTGGAAGAACAGCTTTGGGTTTACTTTCATGGTTTCTTGTGCAGCATTCTAGTGCAAAATGTGAAACTATCCCTTCAGCAAGCAGAAAAAAAGAACCCTTGGTTCAGATCCTTTAGGAGTAAATATTAACATGAAAAATGTTGGTGTCAAGGGTGGCGATTTTAAATGGAGAGAATCTGGCCTTAGTTATGCTCCTACACAACTTACAGAGTAGCCATTCAGACAATGTTCAACTTGAGTCAAAGTGACAGAAAGAAAGGCAATTGATAACATGTGCACACCTTATCTGGCAGGTGCTGAGGAGAAAATCCTTGGAGAGTTTAGGGAGACGTACAGCCCAACTGCTTCTGATTTCCACCTACAAGCAATGATCCAGTCTGCTGGGAAATTGGTTCTCATAGACAAACTTCTTCCAAAAATGAAAGCAGGAGGCCATAAAGTGCTTATCTTCTCTCAGATGGTCCGCTGTCTTGATATTCTTGAAGACTACCTTATACATAAAAGGTAGGGTACTGTTTGTATTATAAATACGCAGTTTAAATTGTATATTGTATTATAATTACTGATGATAAAGTTGTAGTCTGATGTACCGACTGGTACGACAAAGTTGTAGTCTGATGTACCGACTGGTATGGTGGTTCTGTACGGCTCTTGATTTCCTGTCCCTTGGTTATTGAATGCTGGTGGCTTATTCGGATGTCTGTGCTCCTTGCTTGATGAATGGTGACTTGCATGCATGACTACAGTGCCACAAATAAAGCATTCATGTTGCGGTTAGATAATTTAATGGAGCAATAGTGGTACATGAAATGCTTTTCAGTAGGTTCATGTATGTGTGAGTAACCAGGTAATGAGAAGTGAAGTGACATGTGACCTAGGCCTGAATGATCAGTTGTTCTCTTGCACTACAGCTGAAAGCCCAGCCCTATAGACTGAAGTAGCAGTACAGTGGAGCGTAAACTTAAAAATTAAAATGATAACTATCAAATCAGTTTTAATTGAAACTTCTGTAATTCTGCTGTTGAGAGCTAACAGTAATTTATGAAATGGATTGCAAGAAATACATGGTTGCCCTGTAATTGAGAGCCAGTGTGGTGTAGTCGTTCGCGTCAGATTAGGATCTGGGTGAGTCAGGTTTGAATTCCCACTCTTCTCTGAAAGCTTTCTGGGTGATGTCTGGCCAGCCACACACTCTCAGCCTAAACCACTTCACAGGACTGTTGTGAGGATAAAATGGAGGAGAGGAGAATGATGTGAGCCAATTTGGATTTCCCACTGGGGAGAAAAGTAAATCAGTTTTTCTGTCTTTGAGGTCATGTAGAGGGAAACCATGCAGATGAAAAAGATGAATGCAGTTTCTGAAACGTGTGCTTCCTATATTTTGACAAGATATTTAGCTATACGTTACATATATTATTAAGGCATTGGATTGCTAGATAGGGGGTTGCTGTTAAATGTTTACTATTATGGCTAATTAAAAAATAATAATCTTGGGCCCTGTTCACACGGAGCATTTGCCCGCGCTAAAGATATGGATGAGAGGTGGATTTTCTGGGCGCAATCACTCCACAACATCTGGGAAGTGTAGTGCACCCATGGCTAACCCGTGGCTTCGTGCCGAAGATACGGAGTAAAAAACTAGTACTTACGATGTACTAGTTTCCGGAAAACGTGGGACAAGGGCGGGCGTCTAATCACGTCCCGTCCTAGTCCCATCGCAAACCGTTTAGTTTTCTTTTTAAGTCTGCACAGGATGCGCACAAACTATCATGCGCATGCTCACCTTTTGGTGAGAAAAAAAATATTCCCGTTTATCATGGAAGTGGCGCCTAGCGATTGCTGGTGTGATTGCGCCGCGCTGCAGGATAGCCGTGTGATCGGCACCTCACGCCCTAACCACGGGACCTCGATGGGACGTGTGATCGGGCAGCGGCATGTTATTTTGCTCTGGGGCAAACAGCCGCACTCCCCCCCCCGCCGCATTTTTCGGCCTGTGTGACCGGGGCCTTTGACTACTTTTAATGCGGTTGTCTTAATATATTACTAGCGAAGTATGGCCCCATCTATGTGTATGTAAATCCACTGATCAGAGTCACACTGACAGTAAACAGATAGTTCTGCAACTTTGGTGGACCCCCCTCCCCAAGTTTGCAAAAACAAACAAACCTAAAAGCCTGAAAAGTTAAAAATACACTGGGGGGGGCTTAAATTCCCCCTCCCCAAAAACCCTAAAGCGTTGTCTGTGCACATGGCAGGCAACTCACCTACTTCCCCTGGTGGCAGCATCAGAGGTTAGGAGCCACAGCATCCATGTTGGGAGGGGCAGGAGCCATGATGGGTCTGGTGGCAGACGCCAGGAGCGGTGGTGTTGATGGAGGGGGGAGTAGGAGTGGCATTGGGCTTGGTGGCAGAGGCTGGGCCCTGCAGTGTCGACAGGGAGGGTAGCTGTGCCAGGTTCAGTGGCGGAGGCAACTGGAAGCTGTGTAGTATCCATCATGGGTGGGGAGCCGGGCCTGCACTGGCACCAGTGGGAGGGGGAGCTGCAGCAAAGCTGGGATAGGGCTGGGATAATTATCTGACTTCCTGCATTACCCCCATTCCTGAAACTCTGTCAGAGTCCCACGTCAATCATGCTCAACAACAGTCCTTAAGAAAGGTGCAGTTTATTGAAGGAAGAGGTCATCATACAACACACCTTGTGTCAGGAATTGGGGGTAAGGCGGGAAGTCAGATAATTATACTCAATTCATACAAGTCCCCCGTGCAGGCCAATGAGCAGGGGCAAGCAAGCGCACTCAAAGGAAAAACGGCTCGGCTGGCGTGGCTGAGCACAGCTCCAAGGCCACAGTAGAGATAACGGGAGGAGCTAGGAGTGCATACCAGAAGGAGAGGGGTGGCGGTGAGAAACAGGGGGAAGCTGGAGAAGAGGGGGGGAACACAATCCTTCCCATGGTGGCGTCAGCCGACAGGTAGGTGCTGCTGAGGCGGGAAAGCTGGGGTTGGGTGGGGGAAGTCCCTCCTGTGATTCTTTGCCGGTGCCCACTTGTATCTCTGCAATAGGCAGAAGGGCATATTACTTGTGATGCACTTAATGCAGCATGCGTGCAGATGGAATTTCATGGAAGTGTGAAGTTGTTTGACATTGCCCTTTGGTTAGAATTGTCAGAGCTAATATATTACAATACGTTACAAAACGCATAACTCTGGGAGCCTGGCTGCCTGCCAAGTGCCTGTGGCCTTTTCAGATTATCTGCAGTGCAGCTTTATGGCTGATTAGTGGTGAGGAAAACTTAGGGTGCTTTTAACTGGTGACTAAACGCCAAATCAATTTAGTGGCCTGCTTACCCCACGCGGAGAGATTCTGCTACTGTTTCTGTGTGTGTGTGTGTGTGTGTGTGTGTGTGTGGGAAACCAGCTAGGCATTCTTGCTTCTAGATTACAGGGTTGACACAGGCCTTAAACTGAAGAAAATCTCTCTTGTATTGTGTTCACTTGGTCTTATTGGTATATACATTGTTTGTATGAAGAACTGTGCAGTTATGAAGGAATCACAGAGACAGCTCTTCTCGAGGGTAGAAAATCAGTCTGCCTCTCAAGGCAGCAGCAGTTTATTTTATCCCCATTCTGCCTTCCCCCTCCCCTCCATCCGTGTGCTGGGGTTGAGAGTTCACATAGCTGGGGTCCAGAGTTCACATTCAGAAAACCAGAGGAGAACACAGTGGAGGAGAGAATTGAGTCTTGAGTACTCTTCCAACTTGTTCCTCAGGTGGAACTATGCAAATGAGGTGAGCTTTTGTCCTTGCTGGTGGGAGGAGGGATCTCCTAGTTCCAGTCCTGTCTGCTCCAGAGCATTATACTCTCAGATGCTCTCTTCTCTCTCGTAAATCCTTCTGTTTACCTCATAATCTCTTGTCTGCATCGCTGCACCTTTCTCCAAGCTGCTACCAGTCCTCGGAGAGCCATCTCCAATTCCTTTCACAGCTGCCACAGGTGTTGCTATGGGCCATTCCGATCAATCAGATGAGGCTGAAACTTCTGTCTGACAGAATGGGAGGGGAATGGTCAAGAGGCAGCATTTCCTCCTGTGCTCAACCTCCTCACAGGCTTCTAATTGCAAAGATGTTAGAGATCGCTGCCACAGGTGTTGCTATGGGCCATTCTGATCAATCAGATAAGGCTGAAACTTCTGTCTGTTCATCTGACAGAATGGAATGGTCAAGAGGCAGCATTTCCTCCTGTGCTCAACCTTCTCACAGGCTTCTAATTGCAAAGATGTTAGAGATCTTACATCTAAGGGCAGGCTGTCCTGCTGAAAAAAACTCCAGTTCTAACAAAGGAGTATAATCTGTTTTTCCAAAGGTCTCATTAAAAAAATATATGATTCAGGTAGAAGGCTTTATCCATTTAATTAACCAGTGACTCAGATCCTGCAGCTTTTCTATGATGTGATGATGCTTTATGGATTCTTCTCTTTCCTCCAAGTTATTCAGGAGCCAACTCCAGTCTTTATAAGGTACCTTTCTAGCTCGCAGATTCCAGTTTGGACGCAGTCCTTGTTACCTTCTAGCCCCCGGAGTCTAATATTGTGGGTGGGGTGGGGAGAAAAGTGGGATAGAAGGGCCTGAATAAATAATGTTGATACCCTAATGAAATCATAAATACCGTGTTTGCTTTTCACATGGATCCCCCACATTGTACATCTGGACCATCCTGAAAGGTGTTTGTTTATTGACGTAGGCACAAATAGGTCACTTGCCAGTCAGCAGGAGTTGCATTGGCATTCTTACAGCAGGGCCTTATCTAAGATCTTCATCCAGATATCTTTTCACCTCTATCTACTGTGTTTTGTTCTCTTCACATCCACATATAACGCTCTTCTTTCTTACACCTGCCACCTGTTTCTAAGTAATCTTCTTGGCATCTGTACAAGGCCCGCAGAGCCTTATTTAAGACACTGATTATACTGCTACGCACAACTCTGCATAACACTTTGTTTTAAAGTCACTTTCCTAGTGGCCATTAAATTACTTAAAGAAGTCTAAGAACTTAATGCCTTGTCTGTTTGAACAGAGCTTTGTTCCTTTCACCAGGATCAAGTGATTATAAGGACAAACTCATCCTTTATTCCAAATGTCAGTGCCATCTTCCTCACATCTCACGGGCCGATCTTTCGTTACTCTGCCCTAGCTGAAATACTCTATGCCACTGCTCTGTAATATTGATGACCATAGGGCCTTGCATATCTACCCGTCACACACCTCAGCAGTCTGTACAGATGAGTTTTTGTACCGTTACTCCTGGACTCCGTAGGCAAAACAACAACAACCCCAGACAGACAGAACAAAACACAAAAACCACTCTAGCCAGACGGATAAAGGCATTCATTGCACTCAGGCCCAGCACTTGCCTGTTGCTGCTGCTCTAAGGGTATATTCACACTGTGGGTGGCCATCAGCAATGCACTGTTCAGCACTCAGGCACCACTGGAAAAGTTCTGCAAGATAGCACGATAGTCTTCCTTCTCAACCTTTTGTTCATCATGATAGGTTGTTCAAGTGTATCTGTTTGAGTACTCTTACTAGAGTCTCTGTGTCAGCAATTCAGCCCACACTGGATGTGGACACTGCTCTTGAACATCCTTGCCTGGATTCGCTCCTCTAGTTTCACAGAATGAGATAATGGTAATTACTGTAACTGTCAAGGTTCTTCCTTGTTGGTGGATGGAGGAGCTCTGGCCCCACCCATGATACTGCAGCTGAGAGTGTTGATGAAGGATTAAAGGCAACAGCTCTATTTTCAGTGCTCCCATAGTTCTATTTTGGTCTGCGAGCTTGACGTGTTTCAGACTGTTAATTGTGTTAGTTAACAGGTGATAGTTTTCCTGCATGCTGCAGCAGGCCCTTTACCAAGTGATCTTTTCCTATCACTGCTGTCACAGCATATCCTGTAATGGGGAGATCCCTCCTGCCCTTGGCAGGGATAAACACTTGGCTCATTTGCACGGTGCGGCCTGTGGAATTGCAGGAAGAATATCTCAGCCAGTGTTTCCTGGTAATTTCCTCTGTTGGGAAGAAACCTTCATGTATTGCATTCTGTTTCTATGAACACAATCTGAATGCAGTCAGCTGTTATCATTCCCTTTCTGAGAAGCCAAATGCTGTGTTCAGGTATTTACAAATGTGACAGTTACCAAGCCTGTTAATCTCTTTGGAGCAAGAAGAATTATTTTTGGCTCCTTGAATGCTGCTTCTGGTGGATGGGTAGGGGTGTGCAAAAAAAAAAAAAATCGGTCTGATTCGGATTCGGCCGAATCTGGCAGAATCAATTTTGGCTGGCAGAAAGACTCCTGCATGTCAATTTCGGCAGTACAAGCCCATTCCTGAGTCTTTTGTCCAGCCGAATGTCAATTTCGGCCCCATTATATCCTATGGGCTATTGAAGTCAATGGCGAAAACATAGGGTATATATTCTGGGGGCTGGAGGAGAGGGGGTTCGAGGGAGAGGTTCCAAACGCGCAGGGTAGCTGCGGGAGCCTCTCCCCAAGATACCCACCACATTTCAAGAACATTGGACCAGGGGGTCCAATTATACGGGCCCCCAAACAGGTTGCCCCCATTCCCTCCATTGTTCTCTATGGTGGGGGAAAAGTTACTTTTCCCCCACAGTGCTGTTAGTGGCTCTGGGGGGGGGGTTGGGGGGGGGGGTTTGAGGGAGAGGCTCCAAATTTTCAGGGTAGCTTCGGGAACCTGAATCAGCCCACAGCAGCCTGAATGGGCCATTTTGGGGGGTGAATTCAGACGAATTGAATGCACATCCCTAGGTGTGTGAGGGGGCTTGTCAGAGGCCGCTGGCCTGAGATGTTTCGTTAGAGTACAGGTAGGAGATCCACGTGCTTATTAAGAGTGTTGCTACTGGAGCATTCAATGGTTGTTGGAGAACACAGAACTGAATGCTTATTAGTTGTAATTTCAGGCTTATGTTTAATGGTTTATTTTTTTTTGCATTTCAAAGGTACCTGTATGAGCGAATTGATGGAAGAGTAAGGGGGAACTTGCGTCAGGCTGCAATTGATCGTTTTAGCAAACCAGACTCTGATCGGTTTGTGTTCCTTCTTTGTACGAGAGCTGGTGGACTGGGCATTAATCTGACTGCAGCTGATACGTGCATAATTTTTGATTCTGATTGGAATCCTCAGAATGATTTGCAGGTAATGTTTGTGTGACTAACCCTACAGATTTAGGGTAAGCATGTCAATGTATGGTACACTTAAAATATACAGAGAGTTGGATCAAGACTAAACTGTCAGTTTCTACTGATTCCCTCATCCTGTTGCAGACACCCCTCATGTTGTTCCTCAGGGTTCCCTAATGTTTTGTGGAGATCATTGGGAAGGGGAGGCAGGAAATTTCCATTCTGCTGATAATAAAATTTAGTTCGGATGCAACCCTTAGTTAGGGCGCAGATGTTTTATTTGTTTTGTTTTAACCTTGATTTTAATTATCCTTCTAAATCATCTAACCAGGAAACCTTGCTATGTTTCTGTCTTCTGACTTCAGTTTAGTGATATCTATTTTAGTTGTTCTGTGGGAAGTTTCCAAATGCACCACCAGTAGTGATAGAATTCTTTCTGATGATGATATGTGAAGGATTTTGTACCTTTTTTTCCCAGGCCCAAGCCCGTTGCCATAGGATTGGTCAAAACAAAGCTGTGAAAGTCTACAGGTTGATAACTCGGAACTCTTATGAGAGAGAGATGTTTGACAGAGCAAGTCTGAAGCTGGGCCTGGACAAGGCTGTCTTGCAAAGCATGAGTGGAAGAGAAAATAGTGTTGGTGGTGTATGTACTCTTACCCCTAGACCCATTTTGTTTCTTTCAGAGGATGGGAATCTGTACCATTTATTCAGCACTTTTTTGCAGCCTATGTGGTTATTATGTAGAAAAGGGTTGTAAAGAGCTGACTTAGACAGGGTCTTAAAGCTTTGTAAAACCTCTTTCATTTCCCATGACATTTGTAATTTTTAAAAAATAATTGGTTTGCGTTGGAAAGTTGGCACTACTCAAGAGAGAACACTGTCACTTTGGGCATTGAGTTGTTGGAGGTGGATAGACGATGTTTTAAAAATACTCAGCAAAATGTAACTTGGACTTCCTTGAGAGGTTCTGCGTATGTCATCTAAGTAAAACAGTTTCTTTGTACGTAAGTCTGAAGGAATCAGCAAATATGAATAAAGATGCACAATAAGAAACTCCATAATAAAGTAATGATGTAGAACTATATATAAGATATAAATTATTTGAAGTCCTAAAACACCTTTACACAAAATACAGTGATTTATTGACATGAATTTGCTCTTGTTGAAGTGCATAATTAATAACTAAAATATAGATTACTTGACATGTATTTCTCTGTTGGAATCAAAGTCTCTTACAACATCAAAATCTTACCTGCACAGATACAGCAACTCTCAAAGAAAGAAATTGAAGACTTGCTTCGAAGAGGTGCTTATGGTGCCATTATGGACGAGGAAGACGAGGGCTCTAAATTCTGCGAGGAGGATATTGATCAAATCTTGCAACGTCGCACAAAAACTATCACAATTGAATCTGAAGGGAGGGGCTCAACATTTGCCAAGGTAGGTATAGTTTTCGGTGTGTGATTGTTGCATGGTATCATTTTGATTCATAGAGCCCTGAGAGAGATCTGAGCATTCAGAATCTCCTGCAAGTGATTCCCGCACCTCCTGTGACAGATGTCCCCTGTTTGGAGGCAAAATTCCAATGTGAACATGGGAGGAAATTTATTTACACTTGTAAGGCATGTTCAGACTGCCCCCCCCCAAGATATGTAATTAATATGATTGTCTTGAAAAGGGGTTGGTTGGAAAGGACGTGGCATTTCTCATAATAAGGGGTGGGATAGCTCCTTAACTTGGACTCGTGTTTCGATTATACATTCTATTGTATTTGCTACAGGCTAGTTTTGTTGCATCTGGAAATAGGACAGATATTTCATTAGACGATCCCAATTTTTGGCAGAAGTGGGCCAAAAAAGCAGAAATAGACCTGGATGCCATCAGTGGCAGAGTAAGTATTAATGTTTTCTTTTGGGTTTTTTTTGTAGTAAACTTAACAGGCCTGAACATGTGTATATTTGTAATTTTCCGTTAGGTTTTAAATAGGCTGTGAGAATTGTAATTGTAGCAGATTCGATCATCAGATTACCATTCCTGAAATACTATTTTTTTTTAATGTTGCAAACCTTTCATCCAAATTGGCACATAAATCTCCTTTCAGGAGATTTCTTTCTGCTTCCAGGAAGGTCTAATAAATATCAGTCTTCTGGAGGAACTGCAAATATTTAAAATATTTGCCTTTATTTTCTACAGCAAAGGTAATCAAACTTAGTTGCAAGGTGAGGTATGCTCTCCTAAATTGATGCCTCATGGATCACTAGTTTGTCTCCTTGCTACTTTGCTTCACCAGTTCCTACCAGTGGAAGCAGAAAGTGGCAGGAATCTTCTCTCTAGCCTAGCAATTGTGTACTGCTTCTATTATCAATGACCAGGAATGTCATGTCAGTCTACCCTTGCCTCCCTCCCCACCTGGTTGCAATTGAAGATACCAGGTTGCACACAAGGGAGTTTGCACTTCATCTATCTAGTGTCCGTTCCTCCATAACAAAGTTATCATTTCCCTGTAATTCCAAAAGTAATGTCATATTTCATTGTCTGATATTCAACCAAGATGTTCTTAGGAGAATTTTTTTTTTTGATAACTGTCATTTTGCAAGATATAAGTCAGGTACTTTGAAATTGCTGAATTGTCTCATATATATATATTCTTTAAACTCTCACAGAATAGCCTGGTCATTGACACTCCCAGAATTAGGAAACAAACAAGGCCATTTAGTGCCACGAAAGATGAGCTTGCTGAATTATCTGACATTGAGAGTGAGGGGGATGATAAACCAAAACTGCGGAGACCTTGTGATCGCTCCAATGGATATGGAAGAACAGAATGCTTCAGGGTGGAGAAAAACTTGCTAGTCTATGGGTAATAATGCTTTGTTACTTTGGAAGATGTGCCTTTCCTGTTTGGCTGGTGATCTTACATTTGATAGCATCTCTGACTCCAGAGCAATGATGTGATAATGATGCTGTAACACTGTGACAGTGCCATGCTTTGTGGTAGTTTATTTCTGCCTTAAGGGAACCAAAACAGCCAAGCTCCAGAAAATCTTAGCAGGAGGCTGCCCATCTCTTTATGAGTTCATTAATTGAGAACATGTAATATTACACAGCACAGAGACCACGAAGAAGATCATGTAATATTACAAAAAAATATAAAATGTAAATGTTACTGAAGAAAAATTACTGTTACAAGCTAGCACAAAGCATGCTGTATGGTTAAATAGAAGTTGTATTATATATTAGAACTGCAAAGCCAGAAGAAGAAGCTTTTTGGAGATGTTTAGATTGCTTACCATCATTGTAGAGGTATTTAGGAAAAATAATAGACAGTTAAGCTTGGAACTAGATGTGCAGATTTGCTCAGATATAGTGGATTTACCTGTTAAGTCATGGGACAGGTGAAGAGAAGGAAGGGAGAAACTGAGACACTTGCAGGCTTTGCTTTTCATCTTCTTCCCCAGTATTAGTAATGAACTATAGGTTTGCATTACTGAAACGTTTCAGTGTGTTATCAGTTTTGAGAACCACTGTGTACTGTGTGAGGAAAGGAGAAACAAATTATGCATTTTTATAAATATGTAGAACATACTACAGTAAAAAGCTTTGTTTTCTGGCATTATTGGGGAATGGAGGTTACCAGTTAATCAAGTGTGCCAGATATTCAAATGTACTGTCCTGCCCCTCTACACAGAAGACTCTGCAGTAACCAAACCCCACCCCATTGGGAATGCCATGGCGGTAGCCCCCAAACCTGGCAGAGCCCTTCCCCTTCTCCCTGAGCCACAGAGCCATCCCATGCAGGAGGCAGATAAGTGGGCCAACTGCCCAGGAGTCATCTGGCAGAACTGGTTCCCAACAGCTCAAGGCAGGCAGTGGGAGAAGAGGCATGGGTGATGTCAACTGGCAGCGCCAGCTGTCAGAAGCCCAGCAATGGCCAGAGGCATCAAGTTGGCTGGAGCAACAGGAATGGGGCTCGTACACACCTGAAGTCGCAGCAGTATGGTGACTAGGGCAGAGGAGCTTGCTTTCTGAGTAATGCCAGTTAACTGAGCCTTTTGAATACTTGAATGCTGGATAATGAGGGTTTTGCTGTATGTACTTCAACTGTAGTCTGAACTTTCCTGTAAAGGAATCAACAATCAGAGGTGCTTTTAGAATCCAGCGTGATGTTTTCATTTTAAAAGTTGACCAGTGTTAAATTTTAACTAGGTGGGGTCGTTGGAGAGAGATTCTGTCACATGGACGTTTCAAAAGGCAGCTAAATGAACAAGATGTGGAGATAATTTGCCGAGCCCTCTTAGCTTATTGCCTTGTTCACTACAGAGGAGATGAAAAGATAAAAAGTTTTATATGGGACCTCATTACACCAACTGAGGACGGGCAGACTCGGGAGCTGCAGAATCACCTTGGTAAGAATCCAGCAGCGCCATCGTTAAGCAGGGTACACCCTTCTAAGCCCATCTTGACTTCAGCGGACTTACAAGGTGTAGCTTAGGAAGGCACTGCAAGTCTTTTAGTCATTAGCCAGAGTTGATTTAGCATTATAATAAGATTCAATGTTTCTTTCATTGTATTTCTGGCTTGGTATTTCTTTTGTATTATCTACACTTTTTTGGAGTGTGCTGTTGAATTTTAAAGAGAAATATTCTCTATGGAGTTGGGTTTTTTAAACATATTACATGCATGAAACAAGACTTTATTATAAGTACGTAAGAAGAGCCCTGCTGGATCAGACCAGTGGCCCGTCTAGTACAGCATCCTGTCTCACGCAGTGACCAGCCAGTTCCTCTGGAGGGCCAACAACACGGGATAGAGGCTGATCCCCTGATGTTGCCTCCTGGCTTTAGGATTAAGAGGTTTAGTGCCATTTAAAGCTGTTTATTCCTGTGGCCATCACTACATCCTCTGGCAGCAAATTCCACATTTTAATCTATCAAGATCTGTGAGTTCAGAAAGTATTTATATTCTTCTTTTCTCCCCCGAGGGGAAAGGTTTAGAGCGAAGATACGGTATAAAGGAAACAAAACATACAATATATATTTGGCTGGTTGGGATTCTGTAGGTGGTTTATCCATGAGCACCTGCTGTGAGCCATGGGTTGGCGCCTCTGACCATGCCCAGCCCCTTATACCTGCAGACCAGAAGGAGACAAAGACACAGTTGAGGTGGAGTGCAGCTGGCAAGATGATTCTCCCTTCCTGTATTTTATGCTACCACTGTACTCTATTCTTACATTGAATAGGTTTGTCAGCCCCTGTCCCCAGGGGTCGAAAAGGAAAGAAAGTTAAGACTCAGGCCAGCACTTTCGATATACATAAAGCAGAATGGCTTCGAAAGTATAATCCGGAGCATCTATTGCAAGATGAAGGGTATAAAAAGCACATAAAGCATCACTGCAACAAGTGAGTAACACTATAAATAGTTTGGCTTGTCTTTAAGCTTATGAAACTAGCTTGCATGTGGTGTTTCAGGACTGAATATGCTTCGTTTTGAAGTGCAAATAAGTGTTTTTATTAAAGGCTAAAAGGCTTTATTGTGGGCCCGTGTGAGAATTACTGAAACGGAATGTTAGCATGGTGATTGTAGCTGTATTGTATGTCACTCTTTACGCCACTAATGCAGGTATGCTGTCTGCAGGTGCACTGGGAGCCAAAATTGGATTTAGGGGAGGGAGGTGCAAGGTCAGAATAAGCCTCTTCCCCTTGGTAGAAACATTCTAGCTTTTCACAAAACAAATTGAGAGGTATGGATTGATATGACCCTAGCTTCCCTCTACACCAGAGAACGTTTCCACCAGAGAACAGTGCCCTCAGCTGGCTGGGAGTTAGCGTTAAGATGAACCGATTTGTTTCTTTTCATAGTGGAGCCTAAAGTGGGCTGTGGACTGGGCATGAAGGACACAGACTCCATTGTGTGCTTTTCAGAGGGCTTCTGCCAGGCCCAACTGATAACAATATGCTTGCTTGTTTGTTTAAAATTAAGGATGCTAGTTAAAGATTTTAACTTCCCACCAGAAACGGTCTGGATTTGATGGAAGTCTCCCTTGCAAGTGGTGTGGTTCTGTGCACTGTTGCCTGGAATTCTACACAGAGGCAGTTTTTAACAGCACTGAATTAACATTTGAATCAAGCATGCTTAGGTTCTATTAACATTTGAATCAAGCATGCTTAGGTTCTATTACAATCAGTGGAGCCAGAGTACATAACTTGGTACAGGACAGCATGAACAACGAATGCTACATCCAAACTGGTCTTGGAGGTTGATAACTCTTGGGGCAGAAAAATGCTGGATTTAAGGGAGGTGGGTGGGTGCTATCTTTTAAAATAGTTCCTAGTTGAACTAAAAATAGCATTAATTAAAAATAGCAGAATTCATTTCTTGTGTATATGTTCCTGTTTAGGGTCTTACTTCGAGTTAGGATGCTGTATTATTTGAAACAGGAAGTCATTGGTAATGAGTGCCAAAAGGTTTTTGAAGGAGTTGAAGCCAGGTAAGCTGTGCTTGAATTCCCTTGATTTTTAAACAGTGCTGCTTATTAAATGAAGCTACTCTACAGAGTACTTGAATGAGCTGAGTTTTAATAGCATTTGCTATTTAAAATATGTTTCAAAGCACTTACACTGGGGAATAGTATATAACTTACACTGGTCCCGGTCACACGTGCTAGAAAGCATGGGGGGGAAGCGAGCCTATTTGCGCCACAGTAATTTGACCCGCCACTGCGTGATCAGATGCAGTGGCGGGGGGAACAGGGTTGTTTCTTTGCCGCGTATTTCCAGCGTGCTTCATCGAGGGATCTGAGCGTGCTGGAGCGATCACACGGGAAACTCCGTCTGCGGCCCATCGCAACCCATTTGAGACTGCATTTTCCCAGTATTTTTTTAACTCCGCGTCTTCGGCGGAGTAAGATGGGTTGCCGACGGGTGCGGGACGCTTGCAAGATGTTCCCATGTGATCGCGCCGTTAAAATCTGCCCAGCAGTCGCGCCTCTCGCGTGGCTACTTCTGCGTGTGATCGGGGCCATAACTTATCAAGTGTTATTTGGTTGTCCTTACAGCAGCCTTGTATTGAAGGCTAGTATTAACCCCATGTTAGAAATAGGCGGCTGATTGAAAGTGAGTTGCCCAGCATCAGCTGATGCTTTGTGACAGTCAAGATTTGAACTGGGGGTGCTCCTAAATCACTACTTCTGCTCTTAGCCTTTATTATACTCCATGTATATGTATTGATGTCTGCCATATATTTATTTAAACAGACCAAATCAGTGTATGCAGTAATAAACAAAAGTAATACCTGTTGGTTTTGTGTTTTTTCCCCTCTGGATAAACATTTCAGTGAAATCGATGTCTGGGTCCCCGAGCCAGACCATTCCGAGGTGCCCGCAGACTGGTGGGATACTGAGGCAGATAAATCTCTCCTCATAGGAGTTTTTAAGCATGGCAAGTAACGTAGTTTTCTTGGTTTTTGTTGTTCAGGTTGTTCTGTTTTTGAAGTTATGTTCATAGTATGTTTCTTTTCCAGGTTATGAAAAGTACAATACAATTAGAGCAGATGCTGCTCTTTGCTTCCTGGCAAGAGTGGGGAAACCCGATGACAAGGCAGTTGCTGCTGAGCAAAGAGCAAATGATTACATTGATGGGTATGACTTTCCACAAAAATATCTTAAATATAAATATATACCTCTCCTTTTACACCATCTGCAGTGGTTCAGACAGCTCACGACTCAAGCACTACACACACACACAAAAAAAAAATTCAAGCACAGACAACCCACTAATATCCCTAATTACCCCCAAACCAGCAGCAAGAAAATAAACAGTCTCCATCAACTGCCTGTTAAAAGCAGAGAGGCGCTTTACGATGCCTCTGAAAGTAGGCCAACATAGGAGCCGTTCTGGCCTCCTTGGAGAGGCTTGATTCAGACAGCTAGTGCTGCAGCCAGAGAAAACCGCATCTGAGCCATCGTAGATCTAATACAATAAAGGGAGAGAACAGTCAGAGGAGAGCTCAGAGAAGATCTGCCACGGTGCTCATGTTCAGTCTGGAAGAGACTCTTGTATGGAAAATCTCGTATTTCAAGTGCTTGTAAAAAACGTTTGAGCATGTAAGCGAGACAGTATGATCCAGCTGAAATGAAATCCCTTTAAGGCGTCATCCGCTGTGACAGAATTCCCTGCAAGGAGAGTTAAGAATGTGTTCAGTTCTTCCATTAAAATCTTACCAGACTTTAAAGTGCTTAATTCTGCCTGGGTTTGCAGCTAAAGGGCTGCAGTAGGTTCTTCTAATAAATATAGAAAATGCTGTGGTCCGCCTTTCAAGTATGAATAACCTGCATGGTGCACAAAATGAGGGCTAGGTAATTATATGGGAGGGGCACACAGCCTTCTAATTTTCTGATACTTTCCCTTGTGCTGCCTGCATGCATATGCTGATATGCCCATGTTCCCTTGTGGAGTAGGGCAGGGGGGCAAAACTGAGTTGCATTATACCCTGTGGGAGTCCCTGCATGTTGTACGCATTCTTCATAGCCCAGACCATTTGTAATGTAGTGCCTCGCCTGAAAGATGTGGAAGGGCTAGGTTGCTTATTAATTGAGTAATGTCATCAAATACAGGGAAATTTTAAAGAAGTGACAACTGCCCTGAATTCAAAGGAAGTTTAACATCTGACTGCTCTGTGGAGTTAACTAGAAGCTTTTTGCAAACATGAAAGAAATATTGCAAGAGCTAAGGGTCTGGTTCTGTAGTATAAGAGCAAGTAGGGAAAAAATGAATGCTTTGGAGCCAGAACTTTACTGCTCTTGAGTGGTCTTGCATTGAGCTGACATCCTGCCGCCTTCCTCTGTTTATCAAGATCCAGAAAAGTCTGGCCACAGTTAGAACAGGCTTTTACAAAGAGGCAATCCAGATGGTTAGAGCCAGAACATCCAGGCTTTGCAGTGATCCTTTTGCTCTCTCAAATGAAGTGATTTGTGTCAAGTAAGTAACTGATTTGTACTGCTTCTGTATTCCCTCAGAGATGTAGAAGATCCAGAATATAAACCAGCACCAGCTATGTTTAAAGATGACATAGAGGTAATACATTTGTATTTTGTTTTTATTACAAATTTGGTGGGCCTACCGTACTTCACGCTTGATTGTAAATTTGTAGCAAATCAATTGTGGGATTAAGTTATTAGCATCCCTTTTAACATTTAAATATACAGTGTTTAATTTTCTGTGGGAAAAGTTGTGAGCTTCTTAAATTAAAAAAAAAAGTCAGCAATCCATATTTATCTGCAGGACAGGTGGCTTATCGTCTGAATCATGCATCTGTTCATTCTTGATTTTTTTTTCTTCCAAATTTGCGATTTAGGATGATGTGTCATCACCGGGGGACCTCATAATAGCAGATGGAGGTAAAATTTATTATAAACTGGTACTGTGTACACTTACTATTTCAGAATAGAGCAAGCCTACATTTTGTATGGTACAGAATGCAGCAAATCAGTATCAAATATTTTTATTCTTGTTTTTCCAATTACAGATGGCCAGATGATTGAAGGGGATAAGCTTTACTGGCCAACACAGTCTGCCTTAACAACACGTTTGCGTCGCTTAATAACAGCCTATCAGCGCACCAGTAAGAACAGACAAATGCAACAAATCCAACCTGTGTTTCCAGTTCAGGCTTGTGTGATTCAGACTCCGTATGAAGAAGCTTCTCTAAATCCAAAAATGGCTGCCAAAATTGAAAGACAGCAAAGGTATGCTCAAAATAGAAGTATTAGATTTGCATGCTCATCTATATCACAAAAAGCATTTGCAATTACTTCCTCTACTGTTACTCTTTCTAGCAGTATAGGTTTTGGGGTATGGTGTTCTTTTGGGGAGGGGTGTTGGTTGGTTGGCTAGTTTGTGCTTATTAATTCACTTAGAGGTTTTGTTGTAGTGGCATAGTGATTCACTTAGAGCTTTTGGTGTAGTGATTAAGAGCAGCGGACTCTAATCTGGAGGACTAGGTTTGATTCCCCACTCCTCCACATGCAGCCAGCTAGGTGACCTTGGGTCAGTCACAGTTTTCTCAGAGCTGTTCTCTCAAGAGCAGTTCTTTCAGAACTCTCTCAGCCCCACCTGCCTCACAAGCTGTCTGTTGTGGAATGAGGAAGGGAAGAAGATTGTAAGCTGCTCTGCGTGAAGGGTGGGGTATAAATCCAACTCTTCTTCTTCTTATATCCCCACTTTCTCCAAAACCAGATTTAAGGCAGGTTACAATAATAATAAGTAATACTCAGTTTAAAACTGTACCAACTAGCAAGCAGATCTAGCTTTCGACTTACTACTTAATGGTGCTTCATTTCTGTTTGAAATCTAGATGGACACGAAGGGAAGAAGCTGACTTCTACAGAGTGGTTTCCACGTTTGGTGTTGTGTTTGATCCTGATAGGGGTCAGTTTGATTGGACCAAGTTTAGAGCCATGGCTCGGCTGCATAAGAAAACGGATGAGAGTTTAGAGAAGTACTTGTACGCTTTCATGGCCATGTGCAGAAGAGTCTGTCGCCTGCCTTCAAAAGATGGTGGGTTACTTGTGGCTCTTTTTTTTCATTGTGAAAATGAACATAGATTTAAAAGAAGCACAGCGGAAAATGTATGTGATCATACAGTCACATGGGTCTTTACATGAGCAGATGTTCCACTATTACTATCACAGATAAATTGGAGGGGCTACTATATCAGGCCAATAATAGTCAGGAAGACAGAGGAAAGTCCTTCAGGTGACATTTTTTTAAAAAAAATATATTGCTAATAGCTAATGTTATTTTTTCCTTCCAAATAGCAAAACAGCTTCTAGCTCTTAGGAACCTTATTTTAAAATGAAAACATAGGGAAAATGTTAAAGGGGGGGAGGTACTGAGGTTTGTGTGTTTCTTGTGCAGAATCCATGGATCCAAATATTTTCATCCAACCAATTACTGAAGAACGTGCATCTCGAACTTTGTATCGAATTGAACTTCTCAGGAAGGTACGGGAGCAAGCTGTCCGTCATCCACAAGTATTTGAGCGCTTAAAACTTTGCCAGCCAAATCCAGACCTACCAATCTGGTGGGAGTGTGGGACTCACGACTGGGATTTACTGGTTGGAGCTGCAAAGCACGGGGTTAGCAGAACAGACTACCACATCCTTCGGGACCCTGAACTTTCATTTATGTCAGCCCAAAGGAGCTACAGTCAAAACAAAGCAGCACTTTCAAGAACTCCCACCCCAATCTTGCATCCGTATCAGATGGCATTGTCCGCCTCACCCCTCACCCCTCAGGCAAGGCTGCTAGATGCTAAAGGAAGCACACTCGAGGATGCAAAAGTTAAGAATGAAAACCATAAAGAAGAGCCTCATTCTTCAGGAGACGAGTCCATGTCTACCGATGATGTGCAGACAGGAATAAAGACTGAGCCTTTGAGTCCAAAGAATGGCACACCATCACATTCTGCAGACCACAGATCTGTTGTGAAAGCAGACAACGACAGGCGCATGGTTGCAGCAAGGACAGAGCCCCTAACTCCAAATGCTGCTTCCAAAAAACAGAGGGCTAGCAAGAGAGAGTCGGACTCCAGCTCCGATTCAGACTCTGATTCAGACCGATCATCCTGTTCTTCCAGATCGTCTTCATCCTCGTCATCTTCTTCCTCTTCTTGTTCACGCTCCAGATCTAGCTCTTCATCCTCTTCATCTTGTTCTTCAGCATCATCGTCGTCATCTTCCTCTTCTTCGTCATCCTCTTCATCTTCCTCCTCTTCATCTGAAGAGAGTGACAGTGATGAAGAGGAGGCACAAAAGAGAGGTAAATGCATGAGGACTTATAACCGTTGGATCGTTTAGTGTTGAATAGGTTCACTAGGAATATAAAACTGATAGCATGTTCTTTACATTTGAGAGTAGCCAAAGGTCAAAATAGGACACTTTACCCTAGGCACCAGATTGCAACGGTACCTAGAAATTTCATTGAGGCGCCTAGTTTTTTTGGGTGGTTGGGGTAACAATAATTAGAAAACATGGTCATACATAACCCTGAAGACTTAAATGTGAGCCTGGCTCCTGAATTTTTGGGCTGTGAGAATGGCCCACAAACTGAGGCTTGATTTTGCTCTGAAAGCTATGGAAATTAGTCATGGTGTACTGAATTGTAATAAAAAGTATGGCTTATCATTATGTCAAGCTCATCTTGCCCACCTACCCCCCCTCCATTCACACATGCGTTGGATAACTGAAAACGTCCTGGCTGCCAGCAAAGCATTTTATATCCAGATCTCAGAAAATGACAAACTGTGGTTTGTTTTCTTGCTTAGAAAGCAGGGTTTCAAACAGTACAAACCAAGGTTCGTCTGTTAATATTGGTCACAGTAAGAAACTGATTGTTGACATCAGGAAATATTTGAGCCAAAGGGAGTGGTACTTCCAGGATCTGATTATATCTCAATGCAGCCAGTGTTAGATCACATTTACAGATTAATCCCTTGTTTGTACTGTAACAATGGCATTCGTACCAAGATGATGATATTGATTTGTCTAAATCACTAGCATTGATCTTTTTGATATGTTGTAATATCCGTTTTTATAGTGTTAATTTCTTCGAAAGAATTCAAGGTGGGGGGAAATAAGAGGGCTGGGCTGGTATAAGAGCTCTGTTATCAGAATGGTTTCTTTGTGAAGAGGCTGTATGTACTTTGTTTTGGCCTAATCAGTGCTGTAAAATACTTGGTTGTACTGAGTATATCACCCATGTAATTTCTAGCTTCTAGACAGCTGCAATTCCATTTCTTGTATATCAGTGGTGTGAACAAAAACATCAGTCACTAACACAGTTTTGGCACTGACAAATATGAAACATGGAAATCCTCCAAACACTGTGGGCCTGCAATTACTTTGCGGAAGCATAGTCTATAGTACTGTAGTTTTAATTCTAATTATTCAGGCCCTGTCTTCTAGCACCAGCCCAGGGAGAAGTTAGAAGCAGGACTTGGCAATCCAGACAAACAGTTGTAACAATGATATGCTTTGTAGTCTAGAGGGAATGATCCGTCATTGATAGAATTATCTTTCCTCTGTTTACTTAAGTTTCTGGTTGTGAAGTGTTCTTATGCCCTTTACTATATGTTCACTAATTTCATCTTCCCCTTGTGAAGACATGGCAATTATTCATGGTATGGCAATCTCAGGCTTGACTGTTTTAGTGGAGTGACAGCTTGTTTGGAGATGGGTAGCCATGTTAGTCTGTCTTGTAGCAGTAGAAAAGAGTAAGTGTTAGAAGACTAACAAAATTTATGGCAGGGTATAAGCTTTTGTGAGTCACTGTTCACTTCTTCAGTCATTGCCTATACCCTGCTGCAAATTTTGTTAGTCTTTAAGGTGCTACTGGACTATAGCTGCTTTGGAGTTAGTGTTGTAACCATTTGAACTCCTTAGAAGGGAAACAGAATGGGTCTGTGAGAGCAGATTGTACTTGAGCCAGTTTGGTGTAGTGGTTAAGAACAGTGGACTCTAATCTGGAGAACAAGGTTTGATTCCCCACTCCTCCACATGCAGCTGCTGGAGGATCTTGGGTCAGTCACAAATTCTCTCAAAGCTGTTCTCTCGAGCAGCTCTCAGAGCTCTCTCAGCCCCACCTACCTCACAGGGTGTCTGTTGTGGGGAGAGGGAGTGTAAGCCACTCTGAGACTCCAAGTGAAGGGTGGGGTATAAATCCAATTCTTCTTCTCCTCCACCTTCTCCTCCTCCCCTGAGCATCATACTGAATTTTCCCATAATCTCCATTGTCAGCACTGACTTATTTGTTGATAGCATGTTTGTGTACAGTGCAGTTCCTGTTAGAAAATGTTCTCCAGATAAATGTCTAGTACTTTTTTTTACTATGCTTTACCTATACTTTTGCATGTTCGCCCTCTGATGCTTCCAGTTTAAAATGTCACAGTTTTGTTCACCAGTTTGGTTTTGCCTGTTGAATAGATTAAACAGGGAAATGGCCTCTCTTTGTCTAGGATGAAAAATAAGCAGAAAGCTTTGGTATTTTCATTCTGCTTCATATTATGCATTTGTTTGAAATTAGTTTGTGTACATTCTGAAGCTGATTTGTGCATATTAAATAATTCCATTGGAGAAACATAATGCATAACATTGTAGATTTTGAAGTTCTAACTGCCTAAACCTCCTTCCTTCAGCAGAAGGAGCTCTTCACTTGAAAGCATATGATGAAGAGAGTGTAGCTTCCTTGAGCACTGTGCAGGATGAAACGCAGGACAGTTTTCAAATGAATAATGGAACACCAAATTCTAATTGTCTCTTACAAGGTGGATATATGTTGGCTGCTTCCTACTGGCCAAAGGTAAATCTCTCTCCTGGTGCTTCTGAATCTTGAAAGATGAATGAGAAAGGTTGTTCCATGACTTAACCATTTTCAAGTACTTGAAGGGCTGTCATATAGAGGATGGTATAGAGTTGTTTTCTGTTGCCCCAGAAGGTCGGACCAGAACCAACGGGTTGAAATTAAATCAAAAGTGCTTTTTGGCTAAACATTAGGAAGAACCTGACAGCGCGGATCCTCAGTGGAACAGGCTTCTTCTGGAGGTGGTGGGGCATCTGACAGCAATGCTGATTCTGTGAACTTAGGCAGATCACGAGAGGAAGGGCATGAAGGGTTGCATCAGTGCTTAGTTCTTGTGGCCCTTTCTTACATGCCCAGGAGAATGCTGATTGCCACTTTGGGGTCAGGAAGCAGTTTTTCTCCAGGCCAGTTTGGCTGGGGATCCTGGAGCTTTTTGGCATCTTCTGGGCATGGGACAGGGTCACTGGGGGTGGGGGGGAGGTATTTGTGAAGTTCTGGCATTGTACAGCGGCCTGGACTAGATGACCCTGGAGGTCCCTTCCAACTCTTTGATTCTGTGATTGTAATATCATAGCCGAAAGTAGGGGTAGTTGGTTGCTTTATGTTGAAGATGCTGAAGTCTCTTATCCTGGTAAGAGCTTCAGAAAGCGTCTTTGCATCATTCAGTTTCAAAGAAGCCTCTTGTGCTACTCTTTCTGAATTTTTTTCCATTTCTTCTGCCACTGACAACAGTAAAGTATGTTGCTGCCCTTGAGGATAGTCATCTCCTTTATTCTTTTGCCATTATATTGATGATTCTCAGAGTAGACAAGAAAAGTTTAAAAAATCCCTTCACCATGACTTTCACTAATGCTGATGAAGGAACCATGTTGGGGACCCGGGGCTTATCGGAATTATTTATCTTGTTTATCAATTACTAAGACTTTTCAAGTGTTGAGACAGGAAAGTGCAGGATTTTTAAAGAGCGCTCTGTTTCTTCTAGGATCGAGTTATGATCAATCGTCTCGACAGTATTTGTCAAACAGTCTTGAAAGGCAAATGGCCGTCGGCAAGAAGAAGTTATGACACCAACACCGTGGCTTCTTTTTATACCACCAAACTTCTAGACAGCCCAGGGGCCGCTGCAGACTACATTGAGCCCAGTGTACCAACTCCCCCAAGCGCAGATGTTAAAGAAGAAAATGATCAATCACCACAGATGTCAAAGGTGAAGAAGCATGTACGGGAAAAGGAGTTTACAGTGAAAATCAATGACGTATGTTTATTTTTATTGCCCTAGGACCTGATTGCGATTGCGGTGTGCGGCATGCTTTACCTACAAGTAGCTGCCTGCTCTCAATCTTACTTCCTTCACACACACATTTGTGGGTATTTAGGAGTAGGGTGTTGTTTTTTTTTGAGGGGGGGGAATTTCATTTTCTTTTAAGTACACAATTTCAGGACCCACCAACAAATTAGTTTGTGTTCTTTTGAAGCCTTGCTGATTAGGTGCTTTCTCAAGCGGTCTGTCTTATTCTGTTTTAGTACTATAGCTACTTCCCAGAGTGTTTGGCTTTTCTAATCCTAGATTTAGCTCCAGCTGTCTGAAAGCAGTAACTTGCAAATAGCTACAGTTTTTTGGATGTCCTGAGTGAACAATCAGAGTAACGATCCTTCCCTCCCTGTTTCCTAATACCCTTAGGCTTTTATACCTAAGATAGCTCGCAACATATATTAATGCAAACATTCTTTCTGACATTTGGTATGTGCATAATTTGCTTTTAAAAAAATAATAAACATATGAACAGGTATAGATACTTGCGTGTGTCCATACGCTCACAAGTTTTCAAATGTAGCTGTTACCTAAATCAGTTTAGTGCAAATGACTAACATCCCTGTGTGTGGAAATTGTTTGCAGTCCTTTCAGAGAGAAAAGTGCATATATGAAAATCCTAAATTGATGAAACTTATTTCTCCTTCCCAAAGAAACCTGCTAACCCCCATGTTTGTTTAACAGGAAGGTGGTTTGAAATTAATTTTTCAAATGACTAACATCCCTGTGTGTGGAAATTTGTTTGCAGTCCTTTCAGAGAGAAAGTGCATATATGAAAATCCTAAATTAATGAAACTTATTTCTCCTTCCCAAAGAAATCTGCTAACCCTCATGTTTGTTTAACAGGAAGGTGGTTTGAAATTAATTTTTCAGAAGCAGGGACTTTCTCAGAAAAGGCCATTTGAAAGTGAAGAAGGCACATTAGGACAGCAGCAATACCTTGCCCGACTGCATGAACTACAGAATGCTTCAGAGATGAGCCTTGCTAATTTCCCAAAGTCTTTGCCAGAATCGGGTGAGCATTGTAGGGTTTTAATAGTGGCTGATCAGTGTTTTTAAAAAAACAAGAGGTACCCTATGTTTGGAATTGTTATTTGAGTTATGGTTTTTCTGTTATCTGTGGCCTTGATTCTCACTGAGGTGATAAAACCTGTGTTTGGGTTGCCAGACTCCACATACCTCCTTCATACCACCACCACCCCAAAAAAAAATCTAGTTAAACTGGCATAGCAAAAGGACAGTCTCAAATTGTGGCCTTCAGCCCCTGAATTGGGAACATCAGGTGGGTGATGGAGGCACCCCCTCTTTTGGGTTGAGAGTTTTTATAGCACCACCATATTCTCTCTCAAAGCGTGCCTGTGCCTAGAGAGCAAGGACGCCACTCCTGTTCCCTTTCTTGGCAGACATGCTGAGAGGAGCAGGAGGATATGGCATAAGAACATAAGAGAAGCCAATGTTGGATCAGGCCAGTGGCCCATCCAGTCCAACACTCTGTCACACAGTGGCCAAAAATACCAGGTGCCATCAGGAGGTCCACCAGTGGGGCCAGGACACTAGAAGCCCTCCCACTGTTGCCCTTCCCCAAGCACCAAGAATACAGAGCATCACTTGTCCCAGACAGAGAGTTCCTGTCTATACCTTGTGGCTAATAGCCACTGATGGACCTCTGCTCCATATGTCTATCTAATTCCCTCTTGAAGCTGTCCATGCTTGCAGCCGCCACCACCTCCTGTGGCAGTGGATTCCATGTGTTAATCCAAGTACAAACCAGGGCTCACCCTCTTTAGCCTCTTTAGCAGAGAGAGGCCACTTAGCCATGGAGGGGATTCCTCCATGGTTCTGACCTGGGCTTGTTCCTCATTATGGATTACACCTCCTGGTGTTTAGCTTGCATTTCTTGTCTTTGGCTGTCTTGGTTTGCTTGCCCATGCGCCTGACCTTCACACCAATGAGTCCATAGCTCTGACACCTTCTCAGGACTTGCAGTTCATTGGGTCCTGTGCTGCTGTTCAGGAGCTAAAGGGGCAGGGGTCTGGAAAGATTGAAGCCCACTGGTCTGGAACCCTTGCCTCTGACATCTAACTTTATATAGACATAATTCTTCCTTGTGGGAAAGCCTTCATTAGTAGGAACCCCCGCATCCAACGGACATGGATTTACCATTTCACCTGTGTCTATGAGTTTTCCTGATGTGATCCAGTTGAGTGTAAAAAGATTAGACCCTGTCATGTACATGTCATGGATTGAATAGAAAAATATCCAAACTATAGGGAAATGACATGGTCCCTAGGTAGTACGGATAGGTTGAAGAGAAGCGGCTTCATGTCAGTACCGGTTTTTCTGTCATATATGAACATGTATACTTCAAAGAGTTTGGCTGATGTACCAGAAAATAACTGAAGTAGGTAAATAATACTAACTAGCGAGTCTCTCTAGAGGGGGATCTAAGGTGTGAATTTGTGGAAGATAGTAGCGAGTTGAGAAGGAGTGAGGTTTTTGTTTTGTTTTTCCAGACCACAACATGGGATGGCAGGGCTGCAGCCTATAGCAATGCTAGTCTCCTGGTTGCATGTATTGATCCTGGGAAGGAGAAGATGTAAAACATGTCTGAACTCATGGTGTACATAGAAGCATTAAGTACTCCTTAAAATATTCTTGTTGTGTTGTGCTAGAAGCTCTTGCTGGACATTTGATTTTTCATCTGTGTGTTCTGATTGCTTTTTTGCTGCTCATCTTTGATACAGTTCAATACAATTACACTGTCCATTTCATTAGGAACATCCAGTCAGTTGACAACTAGTGCAAATGGAGTTATAGCTGATGACCAGCCTGCGGTGAAAAAGAGGCGGGGAAGGAGAAAGAATGTGGAAGGAGTTGATATCCTGTTTATCAACAGAAATAAAACGCCTAACCATGTAAGTGTCATTAAGTATTTCAGGTAGATTAACTATTGAGAGCCAGTTTGGTATAGTGGTTAAGAGCACAGACTCTAATCTGGGAGAACCGAGTTTGATTCCCTATGCCTCCATATGCAGCTGCTGGTGTGACCTTGGGTCAGTCACAAGTTCTTTCAGAGCTGTTCTCTCAAGAGTAGTCCTGGAAAGAGCTCTCTCATCTCCATCTACCTCACAGGCAGTGCTCCCTCTAAGCTGTGGAGTCCTGTGAGCAAAAATTCTACTTTGTGAGCTACCGGCATTAAAGTTGTGAGCAAGTGATTTGGCTACTGCATAAATTAGTTTGCTCTGGAGCCATCCTTCCTGAGCTGAGACAAAAATGTGTGAGCCAGAGGCTAAAAAACTGTGAGCTAGCTCACACTAACTCAGCTCAGTACTTCTGTTACTGTTGTTGTATGTGATCCTGTTGTCACTCCCACAGCCAGCATGCTATTAATGAGGCACTGTACATTTTCGTAGGACTAAAGCTGCTCTTGCAGTAGTGTTGACACGTGTAAGTGTGGTTACAGTTATTGCTCTCTCTTAAACATTTCCTTTTTCTTGAGAGGTTTTCCAGAACATTTAATATTTTTGCAGGTTTGTCATGGCATCAGTGCCCCTCAGGTTGCTCCAGGCATAAACCCAGCTCTTCCGTATGCACAGTCCCAAGGCTTGTGTGATGCAGAAAGCCCAGTTCCAGTTATTAACCTGAAAGATGGAACAAGGCTTGCAGGTGACGATGCCCCCAAAAGGAAAGATTTAGAGAAATGGCTTAAAGAACATCCTGGCTATGTTGAAGATTTAGGAGCTTTTATTCCTGTGAGTATTTAAAGTTTAATAAATTTATTCATACTGCCTCTGCTGTGCTATTTCAGTACAGATTGATTAGTAACTTTCTTTTTTTTATATAACAAAAAATTATGTAAAGTTGAAGAAGTTAGGTTGGGTTATGAGAAAAGGGGGGATTATTTTGATAATGTTTGCACAGTGGCAGGGATATAGGACCAGGAGAAATTTAGGGCCAGAGAACTTGCTTTGCCTTGCCAGAAGGAAAGTCTCTCTTATTGGACTAAACCCTGACATTATTCAGAGCCTGGAACCCGCAGTTGTTAAGTCCTGTGTCAGGAAGAATATCCAAGACAGGGATTACTTGAGCACATGGTCTCATGCCTGCAGGGTTTGCGCTTCTGTATTTTTAGGCATTCCTCCACCTAAATCACTGTCTTCCTGTGCTTTTCCACCCAACTATCCCAAATTATTTTAGAGCTTTCTTATTATCTCAATTGAATGCACATCCCACTCCGGTTATGAAGGGAAGATTAAGAAAGATTCCTTAGACTGCCTTTGTGATTGTTCTCAGGGGAAAATTGGTACTTTAATACATATTTTATTGGAGTGTCCTCTTTACATTAGCCTTAGAAATAGGTTTTTAACACAGTACCTCGGCAATTTTTCATCTTTGTCTCATCACAAGCCAGTTTTACTCCTTTTATCTGACAGATTTCCTAACCTTACCCTCAGGGGTCATTTCGTTGAAAAACAGGTGCAGGAGCTCATTAGCATAACTTATTTGCATATGCCACACCCCCTGACATTACCGGAAGTGTGTTAGAAGGCAACACCCACCGCTCAGGCTCCACTAGACTGTTTTGGATACCTAGCTATGGGGGGGGGGGGGGGGAGCGTGCAGATCTGTCCTCGCAGAGGAGGGAGAGCTTGTACCTGAATAAAACTTGGTCTTAAAGGTGCCACAAGACTGTTTTGGACTGTTTTGGCTCTGCAACTTACCTGGTTGCTTCTTGCTCTGAGGCCTGCTGGGAGCAGGGGGTGGAGCTTGTTGCATGTGCCTACCCCCTGGGCTCTTTACTGCCGGAGCTCCGCTCCTGTGTGCTCCTGCAGGAAATGACCCCTGCTTACCCTTGCTTGCAAGATTTTTTCCATTGCTTTCGTGTCAAGTTCAGATGATGCTACTTAACAGTATGGTATTGGAATGCTCAAGACTTTTAGTCAAGGGGCTAGAATCAAAGGGGAAAGTAAAGGAAAAATCAGTAATGTGTTTTTTAAATTCTTCTGCAACAGAAAATTCAGCTTCACGAGGGGAGACCCAAACAAAAAAGGCACCGTTGCCGAAATCCTAATAAACTGGATATTAATAGCCTTACTGGAGAAGAACGTGTTCAGCTTATCAATAGGAGGAATGCTAGGAAGGTAATTGTTTCCCCTTGTCTTCTGGAGTGAGCATATTTGTTACAGTTATCTGTACTGCTTCGTCACTACAGTTGACTACAGTTGTAATAGATTTCTGCCTCTCACCTTAAAACCAGCTTTGCATGTCGATGTGACGGTAAGCTGAGCACTGGGTCACGAAGCCTAAACCTTTGTTTCCCTCCACTGCCTTTTAGGTAGGAGGTGCTTTTGCTCCTCCACTGAAAGACTTGTGCAGATTCCTGAAAGAGAACCCTGAATATGGAGTAGCTCCTGAATGGGCAGATGTTGTGAAACAATCTGTGAGTACTTGTGTGGGTCCTGGACCAGAGAAAGAGGGGTGTGTATGTTTCATAATAGAGAGGCTCCATATTCTCAAGAAGTAAGTCTAATGTTAAAATAAGACGGCTGCTAATGCGGGCATTTCTGTAATCTGAAAATCTGTGAGCCTTCATACCATGTTTGGTTGCATGACAAAGATAATTTCTAAAGTAAGTTCATGCTTGTCTTTTGAGAATCAAATCACCTGTTTCTAGATGATCCAGAAACTGTAGAAGAGGACTTTTGCTAATGACCGGCTTCATAATAGCCTTTTATAAGCACAGTAGGAAACATTCATGGGCAGTATCAGCATAATCCTTACAGTAGTTTTGTGGACTGTGCCCAGACTGTATCTTTATATGGTTTGAGGGTAGGTTTGGAGGCCTGAAAGAATAAGGGCTCTCCTATGGATGTCTAATGTGTCTGTCTTGGGGTAGAGATTTCTTGCAGGGGATTCATGGTTCTTATTCTTAAAACTAGGTTTCCCATAGTAGGTTGGATCTGAGAATTCTGTTCGACTAGCACTGGACTATTCTGAAGTTGATCTGTGCCTCTTGAGCCAGCAGAAAGCTCCTTGCACCAGTGGCAGAGAGAGCTTTGGGTACGACCCGAGGTCATAAAAGAGTCAAATTTGAAACTGATTTCAGCGTCCATTCATTTTATTACATCATCGCTTAATGCTCGCGTGTAAACATTTAGCTGTAAGGCTGCTAACACAAGTTTTAATTTCTCTTTCCAGGGATTTCTTCCCGAAAGCATGTTTGACCGCATTTTAACGGGGCCTGTTGTACGAGAAGAAGTGAGCAGGAGAGGAAGGAGGCCTAAAAGTGAGATTGCCAAGGCAACCGCAGCCGCTGCCGCCTCCGCAACAGCAGCCAATGTTCCGGTCAACCCTCTGCTAGCCAATGGGCTAATCCCAGGAGTGGATCTGTCTACCCTTCAGGCCTTACAGCAAAACCTGCAAAACTTTCAGTCACTGCAAGTTACAGCAGGTTTAATGGGAATGCCTGCTGGCCTGAACACTACTGGGGAAGCTAAGAACATGGCCGCCATGTTTCCCATGGTGCTTTCAGGAATGGCTGGCTTACCGAATTTGCTAGGAATGGGCGGACTCCTAGCGAAGTCTACGGAATCTGTTCCTGAAGAGAAAAAGGGAAACGATTCCAGAGAGCCCGAAGGAAGGAAAGAGAGGACAGAGAGCCAAAACGCACATAACGGTGGAGAAAACTCTTTGTCGGGTTCTCCTTCCACATCTTCTACTGCTGCGGCAGCTGCCAGCCCCTTAGCTCTTAACCCCTTACTGTTGTCCAATATACTTTATCCAGGGATGCTTCTCACTCCAGGCCTTAATCTCCATATCCCAGCTTTGTCCCAGTCTAATATTTTTGATGTACAGAACAATGAAAACAACGGCACAGGTGTAGCTAAGTCAACAGCAAAGGAGGAGAACTCTAGCGTTGAAGGTCAAGACGGAAAAAGGGGAACAGAGCTTAGCTCTCGCAATGAAAACAGCACAGATGAGGGTTCAGAGAAAGCAGATGCTTCCTCTGGATCAGACAGTACATCCTCCTCGTCTGAGGATTCAGACTCTAGTGATGAAGACTGACCCCAGACCCTGCACTTAAATTATAAACTGGTTTTGGATTTATTCTTTAATTATCTCATTGTAAATAACCCGGTGTTGAGTGAGTGCATCAATAATTTACTAACCGAACATTTCAGTATTTGTTTAGAAGTGCAAACTGCTTTCAAAGACATTTTGCATGTAATTTCTTGAATTTCCTGAGTTTCTGAACTTGTATGTACTATCAAATACACATTTGTGTGAAAACAAATTACAGCAAAAGGCATTATAATTTTGTTTTTTTGGGGGGGTTAATTTTTTTAAAAAATGCTCACTATGAGCTGTATATTTAATATATTTGCAGTGAACACAGAATTCTTTATGCGCATTATTGATTTAATTTGAATATAGTTTTACAGTCTCCTTGATGCTTATAATTTACAGATCAAAACTCAGCAATAATTTGGGCAGCTAATGAATGTCATAAAAGCTGTAGAACCATCCATTGCTTTAATCACATAAAAATGCTCTAGTGTTGTGATGCACTGCTGATGTTTCCAATTCAGGTACAACTGTGTTTAAAAAAAAAAAAGTTTCCCAGTCAGCCAATTAAATTGGCTACTTGTTACCTCAGCTGAGTTAGTTTAGGAAGTTTACATGGGTTTCTCTTCTTGTTGTTGTCCTATATTGTTTTGCCTTTTTAAAGGCACCCTGTGTACGTTAATTTGGTGTATGATACCCCCCCCCATTACCAGTGCATGTTTATGTAATTATAGTAAAGGGAAACTTTGACACACACACACCCAATATCCCTTTCCTATTTCACTTCAACACCATGGATACCTGTTCAATTTTAAATGTTGCTCCTTCCACAGCAGTCATGTTGTGGAAGAGCTGTAGCCCCAAGTTTGAAAAACAAAAATTTCATAAAGTGCCACTTCCAACACTGCATACTTCATATATAAGGATTATGTATCCTTGCAGGAATTACTTGTTGGCTTTGTTTGTTGGAGTTTGTGTTTGTCATGTAATCTCCTGTAGTTACCAGTTAATAATGGTAAGGGGAAATGTAGGCACGTTAAACTCTTCTATATTTCTCTACAGGTTTTAGAACTGACTGCATTGAAAAAAACATGTTACCCAAAATCAAGATTTGGGGTATCATCCGTTTATTATCATTATGCTGAGTTGCCCGATAACTAAAAAGCACTTTCAACAATGATTAGATGTGTTTCTTGAAACCATGGTAACAGTGCTTAAAAAGCATCTGTTGGAATACAAGTCCTTAAACCCCTTACTGTATTAAAAAAAATCAATCTGATATTTGATGTGCTATGATTCCTTGATCTGCTGAAGCTGCTATTACTGTGACATGGTGGAATCACAGATGCACACCCACATGGCAGAACTGACTGAGAATAGGTGTGAGCTTGTGCTATCTTGCTTGTGGTCCACGAATAGACAAGTGCTGAGGGAATGAATAAAAGTACTGGTTGATGGTGGATAACAGACCTTTTCAAAAGGGAATAATTAAAGGAAAATGTATTTTGATATGGTTTTGTTGCTTGCTTGTACAGTAAACAAGACTATGTTGTTTTTTACCAAGACCTTTACTGACTAAAATAAGTTTGTACATGCAAAATAATAAACCCTTTAACTAGAAGCAGTATTACATGTAATTACACAATTATACAAGTACTATTTCAATTGTGCTGGTTACTGTATTTCCCCCCCCCCAAAAAAAAGTATTGATTTTGTTGGTCCTTCATGCAGTGTCTTAGCAATAGTCAAAAAACATGCCACAAGAAAGGGGTAGCAATTCTTCATCATGAAAGGATGTATTGCATATTTAATATTTGCCCTTTGTAATATAGCACTTTTGTTTAACTTGTATGTATCCATGATATAGCCAAAGTTTTCCAAACACAGTTGTTGACATAGTCAATGGAGTATTTCAACAATATCATCACTTTGCACCACTCCCCCCAAAAGAAAATCCTAAACATAATTTTTAATAAATTTATGAAATAAAGTATTTTCCTAATTATGGTCAAGTGAATTTGCTTACCATTCTAGTGGTCTTTCTCTGTAATAAGGCAATTTACAGTTTCAAATAATGTACAGCTGATACAGATTTGACTCTGAAGTAAAGGCCTGTTTCTTTCTTTTAATCAGTATCAGTTGGAAGATGAGAAATATGTAGCTATGTCAGCTGAACATTATGAAAATGTGGCTGCATTAAGTCCAAAGTTATAAGGACTGCCCATTGGAATTACATTAATACTGAGATTTTCAGTGAAAAGGATATCCAAGACGGTGAAGAAGTGTATGTTGGTAGTGACTAAAAGAACTTTTAGCTGTTTATTGCCTTGTATTTCTATCCCTTCGTTTCAGGCCTCATGATCCAAGTCTAAGTCCTGGTATTTTTTTTTTTGTTCTTTTGTTTTTGGACATTTGCAATATTTGCTGGTTGTGTTCTGTGTAGTCTGAATTTGCTTTCTGTAGTTGAACAAGCGTCTTAAAGTCATTTGTAATTTATTGAATTACTTTCTATGATGTTCTATAGAGCAAATGGAAGTTTAATTATTTTTTATTAAACATATTCTTTGACAACCCATGATGTTGGCCTCAGTACCTTTTAAAAAGCTGTTAGCTGGTGCATAAAACAGAGTTTAAATGTGAAAACAAAGTAAGTGTTATTACAGAGTCATTTTAAAAGCTCTAAATACCTGAAGCTAGTTCTCTGTTAGGTAGAATACACGGCAGTCACCTTCTGCAGACAGAAATGAGAGAAGGGAAACCCTGAAATACTGTGGGCTGTAATGACTTGCTACAAAGGTTTAGCAGTGTATTTATTTAAAACATTTATTAGCTGCCTTTTGTCCTTATGGAGGCCAATACTTAGAAAACCAGAATTTAAAATCACAATTTAGGACCGCAAGTAAATTAATCAAAATAAAATCACCTTTAGCTGCCTCCTAAAGCTCAAAAGTGAGGGGGCCAGGCACACCTCCCTAGGTGTCTCTTGTGTACCCACTGAACAAGCGTGCGTTAGTTTCCTCCGGGGCAATTAGCCATGCCCCCCGGCGATATCCGGCCCATGTGACCGGGGCCCCAGAGAACTTCTGTCTTGTTAGGATTAAGCTCCAGAGATGTTACATACAAAGCTAAGCTTACTATACAAGCTGATATAAACAGTTAGTTTGTATTGTCATCCAGAAAGTTCTTAAACAGCCTTTCTCAACTATGGTTTATTTTGAATGCTACAAATGAATGCACACCATACCCCCATCTGGGCAGCTGCAGAGGGCCACAAACACCTGTGTGGGGAACAGAGGTGTTGGCTCAGGGCTCTCTGTCGTTTTCTTTACCCAAATAGTTTTCAAGTCAGGTTGCCAGGTGTCCAGTTTTGAACTGGACACTCCAGTTTTTCCTTTCTGCCCAGTAAATAAACAGAGAAAATACTAGACATATAAATGTCTAGTATTCTCTGATTAACTAATATACCACCACAACCAAGCTCTATGCATGGACTCTTTCCTTTGCAGCCTGGTGAAGGGTGGTCTACCGTGCATTTTTATCTTTTATGTGCCTGGTGGGGTTTTTTTGCTGTTAAGTACTTTAGGGCTGAAAGGATAGGCACATTTGTTGTTCAGTCGCACAGTCGAGTCCGACTCTTCGCGACCCCATGGACCAGCTCCCGCCAGGCCCTCCTGTCTTCCGCTGTCCTCTGAAGTAGGCTCAATTTCATGTTCGTTGCATCGATGACACTGTCTAACCATCTCATCCTTTGCCGTCCCCGTCTTCTTTGACCTTCAATCTTTCCCAGCATCAGGGTCTTCACCAGTGAGTGCTCCCTTCTCACTGGGTGGCCAAAGTATTTGAGCTTCAGTTTCATTATCTGGCCTTCCAGGGAACAGTCAGGGTTGATTTCTTTTAGGACTGACTGATTTGATCTTCTTGCAGTCCATTTACCTGCAAGTAAATGTCACTGAGGGTTACTTCTGAGCACAAAGGGTTAGGATTCCATAGTAATCCTCCCAGTGATTTCGGTGGAAGAGTTAAGCATATGCTGTTTCCATTTCCAGAAAAACGGGGATTTTAAAATGCCCCGCTTTGAATGGGTTGTGTCTCAGGTTACTTTGCTACTTTTATACTGTATAAAATACAATTTGCTAAACAAATTTATTGGTCTAAAAGGTGCCCCTGGACTTTAACTTTGTTCTACTGCTTCAGACTGACACAGCTACTTACGTGAGTCTATATAATTTGCTAGACTGTATTCCTCTGCAGATTTACTATACAGGTTTTGAATTATTTCATTGATTTCAGTGGGCTTAGACTGAAAGTGACCGCACAGGAACTCAAAAGGTTTTGCTTTTCAGTAGCTGTAAAAGGGCACCATAAAGATAAACCTATTATTCACTTTGTCAAATTTCTTATCTGCTGCTCAACCATTTATTATAACCATGATGTTAGAAATGTTAAGTTTTTCAGAAGAAAAATAGATTTGTTAGGCTTCATGGTGCTACGGGATTCTTTGGCCTAGTTCTCACAGATACGGTAAAACTGGGTCTGGGCTGCACTTTCAGTTTCAAAATGGAACATCTTTCATATTCAAAAAGTGAAAACAAATAGAGCCAGTGTGGTGTGGTGGTTAGAGTATAGGACTAGTGGGAGGACCCAGGTTCAGACCCCCATTCTGCCATGGAAGCTATCTTGGGCCAATCACACACTCTCAGCCCAACCTACCTCACAGGGTTGTTGTGAGGATAAAATGGAGAAGAAGAGAATGATGTAAGCTGCTTTGGATCCTCTTCGGGGAGAAAAGTGTCGTCAGCTGCTTTGGATCCTCTTCGGGGAGAAAAGCGTCGTATTTCTGTTGGAACCATCTGGCAGCCCTATTTTCAAAGCGTACTCTATGGCTGATACAGTGTACAGTTGAATTTTGTATATTCCCATTTCCTGAATAGCATATGCAAATGAATTACATGGAATTGAAATAACATGGTATAGTAGCCTATTTCTGTGGAACACAGTAGCTAAGACTGACCTACAAATCAAGAAAAGCAGGGGTCAAAATTTTCCTCTGCCAGGAACTCGTGGCCTTATGCAAATATACTGCTATATAGAAATAGTACTTACTTGTAGGCTTTTAAAGATTACAGAATGCGGATGGGGCACTTGGAACAGATAAAAGCGCTAAACAAATGCTCAATAGCATTCTGCTATGAATTTCTGAATTATGCATTGCTAAAGCCCTAAAATTAACATTGAGTTATTAATTCTGTGGAGATGTTAAGGCTTCTGTATTTTAATTTTACTTCATTTATCGTCTGCCTTTCGTGATGAGATCTGAAGACATAATAAAACAATGTCCTAAAGACTAGCACAGCACATGCAATAAAGTGCCGTAAGAAGGGGGCGAAATTCTGCAGATTATAAAGCGGAGTAATGCAGGACTGAGCTTAGGCGTCTCAATTTTTGATAGGTAAATTTGTGATTTTGCGGATTTTAAGTAGTATTTTATTGTTTTATTAAGTAGTATTGTTTTATTCTCGTGATCCCCCCTCCCCCGCGACCAGGTTAGGCTTAGTTAAAATATTCTAAACAGGGAAGCAGGAGAGGTCCAATGATTAAAAATAAACAAACAAAAAAACACAATTTTTGTTTTTAAAAAATACAAGACGCCAATTCCCCAAGCTGTGGTCCCACCCACCGCGCAGTTTGGGTAGATTTTGGTTTATGTAAACTTTCAGTGCTAGAATTTCTCCCTAGCGCCTCACCGTGTTGCAATGCGAACCAGCCCTTGCATTTACAACACGCCAAAATGTACTTTCCACATGCGTTACTACTCCTTTAAAGGGCTGCGCCATTTATCCCCTCCCCTGGGAACCGAAGTCACTTCCCTGCTTCCTACGCCTCCGGCCGTGTTGCCAATAAACATCACAACAGCCCCCTCCATCTTTACACTCCGCCTCGAAGCCTTATGGGTATCGTAGTCTGACGCTTCCCCCTCTCCGCCCTCTTTTCCCTCTTCTGGGCCGAAACGCCAGCGCAGAAGGCAGACGCGCTGATTGGCTCGGAGGCGAAGCGCCCCGACCAATCAGCGCCGCCGTGCGGAGGGCGAGATGTTTAGATTCGAACGCCGCGGCTGAGGGGGAAGGGGGAGAGTGACGAGCCCTCGGCGGCCGCCCTCTTCCTTTCAAACGCACAGATACAATAACAAGGGAGGAAGGGAGGGAGGGAGGGAGGGAGGGAGGGAGAGAGAGAGGCGGAATCCGCAGCGCAGGCGCAGTGAGTGCGCGCGAGCCCTGTCT